TGTCTAGAAGAATATGGGTCTTATAATTTTCAAGGAAACAAAGTAGAGGATTGGAAGAAGAGGAAAGAGCTAAAACGAAAATGAGAGAGAGATGTTTGATATCCACAGCGATTGCGAAAAGCCGTTTCATATGACATGTTCCTAGGGTCTTGATCCATCACATGGTCGAGTAAATATAGCAACACATGGCTTGCCACCACCCCCGCAGCCACCCACACATCCAAAGGCAGAAACATCAGACAATTTCTAGGCTGAGCTGGTTGGGGACCGCAGCCCGTGGTCTGGTGAGGAGCACACAGCTATTGGTGATCAAAGGAAGGCAGGAGAAATGCAAGGCAGAAACAAAGGTTTGTGGGAAACTCCGTTTCAGCTGGCCCACAGAGTGGAGATTGTTTTCATGTAGCCACCACCCTTGATGAATTTTTGGGCACAATGAATACAAAGCCGCAGGCAGAAATGGCACCTTTGGGAGGAATGAAGTTGTTTGTTCGGCTCTGCCTGGAGGAAGTTGAGGCTGGGTTGGAGAGCTATTATCACATGATTAATTATCACTTGCCGAAGTCATCAAAGTAGCATGAAGGACTGACTCACTGAGCTATACAAAAGATGTTTCACAAGATATCGGAACCATACAACGAAAGACGGGAGTTGAGTAGGACCTGCATTATTAGCACACCAAGAAAGGTAAAGAACCAGAAGAAAAACTCCATCCAATATGTATGCATCCGTCCCAAGCCAGCTCATGAACTTATCCAGCGAAACAAGAATAAAGAAAAACATAGTGTACCAAACATGCCATGGGCTGAAGAAAATGGAAACAGATACGAGAAAAACGACAGAAAAATACAAGGTAATACAAATACAAAAGGGGACATGCATAAATGGCTGTAACAGTGTTGGCAGATGCGTATTCACCTCCCATGAATCCGATGAGTATTTATCAGACAATACTCATAAAAATCCGAAAAAAGAAAAAAATGTACAGTTCCAAATGAGACGGGGAACAATAAAATGTCGAAAAAAATTATTTCTTCTCCGACTCTCTTGCGGCTCCACCGCTAGCTCTCCACCATACATCGCCGCCCCATCTCATCATCCGCTCAATCGCTGCTGTAGGTGTATCGATTGCAGGGCGGATATCCAGATAAAATACCGGCTCGCCATCCGGCCCCGGCGGTCCGGAGTAATAATCAATCACGTAGCGAACTTCTTTAGGTCCAGAAGATGTCTGGCGCTGTACATACCAGTCGTGACGGTCGAAAGGGGGTGATGTTCTTTTTTTTCGAGATCCGGTACGTTAGACATACATACCATAGCAGGGCGGTTAAAGTAGGAAGTTGGATCGACAGGCGCAACTCACCCAAATTTGGCCGGATAAACCCAGCCCAACGCCTGCAAAATGGTTGCCTTGGGCGTCCTCTCCTGCGGCCTACCCATGAATCTCACCAAGCGCGGCTCAGCACGCGGCTCACTCTCCCCACCACTCCCCATCTCCCTCTCCTCCCGATGCTCCTCCCTCAACAAATTCAATTCCCCTCGCTTACACCGCAACCACCCCTTCCACAGCCCGCCCGCAAACGTGCGTTCCCAGCCCACAATCTCCTCCCACGCGCCCTCGTTGAGGAAATTATGCACGGCAACCATCGCCTCAACGGCGTCCTGCGGCGTGTCCGAGTAGCCCTTGCGGAGGAGCGCGTTGTACATCTGCTGGGGCGACGGGTATTCCCACCTGCTGCTGGTGCTGTCGGCGCGGGGGATAGAGGAGACCTCGCGCTCGACGCTGAGGTCGACGGTCTGGTTTGGCGCGCGGCTTTGCGGGATCGAGGCGAACATGTAGTTTAAGGGATTGAGTCTGGAGAGGGTTGATTGGGGTTGGGATGTGGTGGTGTCGAGGGAGGAGGGTGGGTGGAAGGGGTCATCCTTTGCTCGGACGGGGCAGGAGGGAGGATGTTGTTGTGTGTCATTCTTGTTCTGGCCTGGAAGGGTCCTGATGGGACAACCGGATTCGGACTGTGGGCGTTAATGGATCTAGTTAGCCAATATGTTCAAGAAAATGGGAACTTAGGATTGCCATTGGGAGGCATGCTTACCGCTGGCAGGTTATCTGATCGCAATAGTCCGAGTCCCTGCCGCTCCGCGCCTTGGATGTATTCATTGGCGGTTGGGGTTGGAGAAGCCCAGAACCAGCCCATATTTATATTTTTTATAATCTTTTGTCTTTTCCGGGATGTTAGATATATATAGTTTCGCAAAGAGGTTTATTCTGGTAAGTAGATGCCAGGCAGAGAGGGGGCGTAATTTGAATTGGGGTCAAAATCTATGATAAAATATTTTTTTAGGCCATGGAACTTTTTAATTTGGCAACAAAAATCAGCGATGATGCCGATAAACACGTGATGGCGCAATATCAGCCACAAGTTCTGGGTTGTATCCTTTTTTTTTTGGTATACTTCTCACTTAGGACCAGGCAAGCAAGGTTTTGATATTTTCCCCATCTTATTGATACTAGTATATATAAGAATAAAAAAACCGATAATGAATACAACCCAGCTAAGTAATACCCGCGTGTCCCTCTACCCAGACTAATATCCAAAAAGCCCTTTTCCCCCATATTAACTCCAATCCAATCCAATCCAATCATCTATCCCAGAACACCATACCTTACGTAGAGGTAACCATGTCTCCCCCTTGCCCCTGGGGCTCAAAAATGGAAACGCCTTCTTCTGCCCTCGAAAAATAAAATATAAGCGAAACGATTGACGTGACGTCAGACACCCCGCAGAGGAACAAAAATGTCCAACAAAGCCAAACTCCCTGACCGATCATCCTGAATTAAACTCCCCCTCTTTCCTTTTTCCTCATTTCCTTTCTTTTCTCCTTCCCAGGCAGAACACCAAAATCAAAATCCAAAAAGTCAAAGCATCTCATACATCGAAGTATAAAAGTATACCCATTCCATCCCTCCATACCTTGCCTTGCCTTGCCTTACCTTGCCCTTTACCCAACTTCCACAACAACAGGCCCCTCCACAACATCTTGCCAGATGCTCCGGAACACCCCGCCGTGTAACTCAGGAATATACAAGTAACCCTTCAACGCCTCTTCGACCGCCACCCACCCATCTTCTCCATTCCCATCCTCTCCATTCCCATCCTCTCCATTCCCATCATCCTCATCCCACCGTGACCCAGACAACGATCCAGACTGGATCCACCCTCTAACCTCCGCAACCTCCCTCAGCCGTTGCAGAAACCACGGCTTCGCCTTCTGGCCCTTCGAGCCGCGCGCACCCAGGAACGCCGCCCAGGTAATCAAATCGAGCCACGCGTTCGGTAAGCTAGGGAATGCCGCAGTTGGGAACCGGCTTAGCGCCATCGCGAGGTGGCGACTTAGGGCGCGGCCGAGGCCAGATGACGGTGGGGAAACGATGAAAAAGTTGTTTATGTGACAGATGGCTGCGACTCGGGCAACGTTTTCGATGGGTTGGAGGGAGATGGGGGACCGGGGGGTTGTTTCTGAGGTTGCAGAGGTGGAGTTGGGTGTGAGGCGGAATGGATAATCCAGCAACTCAAATTCCACCTCGTGGCTTTTGAAGAGGAAGATTTCGTTTTCGAGGGCGGAGAAGTTTTCTGGGTCCCGTGTGTTTGCGTGTTCGAAGAAGAGGATTTCGCGAAGGCCCATGAGGGCTTTTTGGAGCGGGTTGGAGAGGGCTTCGTTTGTACAGAGGGCCATGCCGATATTGGATAGTGGGGAGGTGTGCGGTGGGATGATCCGTTCTTCGGTCTCCGGTGGGATGGGTTGTGGGTCCCAAGTTAGGGGGAAAAGTGGGCGGGACATTAGCGCGGAGGCGGACATGATGTCACATCTATTTTAGTTTAGACGGTTTAGCAGTGTTTTTAAACGTAGGTTCGGGGAAAACCTACGTTAAAACATTAGAGAGCAAACGAACTCCCTCGCCTTGGAATGAGGGCCCGAAAACGCCGCCGCGCAGGTCAACCATTTGCTTCAATCCCTGGATATGATCTCTAGCTTCGTCGAAATCACCAATAGTCAACTTAGATAAGTTTTACACGTATAATCAGCACATCATTGATCGAAGCACGCAAAACACAAGCCAGCAGGCATGGCAAGCACAGGGAAATATGTTGAGGAAGATATATAAAAAACTTACGGCACAAGACGTCAAGCTAACAACGATATCAAATGCTGAATCCGTCAATGCCAGCACTGGATCCTGAAGTTTCCTATTCATCTCACGAATACATCGAGCCTTCATCATATAATAATCTGGCTCGAACAGAACGCGCTCCTTGCCAGCCCCTGTGGGCGCAGTAGCCACCAGTTCCGAATGCTTCCCCTGCAAGACAGCGCGATGGGCGGCGCACAGACTCATGTAGCCGAAGAAAGGCCCTGGTTCAGAGATTGTGGCGGAGATGATAAGGGCCATACGGTTCTTGCTGTCTTGAGGCTGCTTTGTTTCGGCGGGGAAGGTCATTGGGATTAGGACGGCGGAGACTTGTTATTTTAAATCAGTTCTGGGATTCCTACGTTATACTTTTAGGAAAACAAGAAATGAATTAGAATAAAAACTTACAATATTTTATCAGGCCATCTATTACATCATTGGTCGAGGGGCTTGCACCTGGGAGTGTGCTGAAGGGGTCGAAAGCCCAAGAAGTGGTGTCCCCCAAGGGACTGGGAAAGGAGGGGAAATCCGAACGATCCTGCTCCAGTATGAGGGAGGCGATCGATGTTCCCTCTCCAGACGGCGATCTGCTAATCATAGACAATTCCGAAGTCGAAATCGGACTTGGACTCATCGTCGTCCTATCTGAAATACTATTATTGTCAACATCTTTTTTCATGTCCGCATCGGTAGCGCTAGCACTGGCAATGGCTTTCCGCCGGTCCTTTGTGCTGCTGGTGGTCTCGGTGCTATCTTGATCGGCGGAGGGTGGTGAAGCCTTCTCCTTAGTAGCACCACGCTTGGACGTCCTCTTTAGACCAGCCAATCTCTCCCTTCGCCGCACGTCGCGCATGACATGGGATCTGATGGCCTTTCGGGCTTTCTTGTCCTTGATCCTTTTGGAGGTGAGATCGTCATCGTGGTCGATGAAGGTGAAAGACGGGATGTCTGAGGGCGTTGACGACTTTGATGATTTTAAGGCTAATGGCATTCGCAGCGACGCAAGGTGAAGGCAAGATTAGCATACGAACATGTAGTTATTGTGGATGAAAAAAAAAATGTTTCAGAAGCTGGGGTTTTATTTGTGGAGATATTGGAGGCCAGGTCGTGGGTGTTTGATAGGATAAATGGAGTTCATGTTGTTTGTTGATAACTGCCATTTCTCCGCATTCTCAACAATACTAGTACGATATGACAAGGAAAGGCCAGGAATAGGGGCACCGCAACGAGAGAAAGCAATATAACAAGCAAAAAGGCTGTTCATATTACACCGGAATATCACCGGAGGCTACTACTTGGAATAGCTTCTGGCTGGCCGCCTCACAGCATAGAAGAAAAGAAGACAGGAATGAGGACATTATGCAGTAAACAAAAACAGCGCACCTTGAGCGGACTTGGTAGAGACTTTGGACAATGTGCGGCCCTTTGCCTGTATCGGTACGTGTTGCTGTTGCGGCTGTTGCTGTTGAGGTTGTAGTTGTTGAAACTGATGTTGCCGCTGCCGCTCGTACTCGTAGTGGGCGTCGTTTGGCTGCTGTGGAGACGGCGGGAGGATCTGACCCGCCTGTTTCCACGGTCGATGATTCTCCATAATAGGTCGGTATATATGGAGCGAGATTCGGGACTCGCTTTTCCCACCTCCCTTGTCCCCGTCTACTTCCACTTCACGTCAATCAAAGGCTAAATAGGTGGCTCAATCTATCGTGTGGTAACCGCGGGAGAGCAGCGTGGGAGAGCGGGTTCATTCCTGGCATAGCGTGCCAATCGGCGGCGGGGGGGGCGGGCGGCGGCGGGTAGCTTTCAGTAACAAGAACAACACAGCGGTCGTGCGAAATTTGGCAACAGAGGAGTGGAGGGAAGAGACCGGAATAGTAATAATATAGTGAGAGAAAAAAAGAGAGAGATTCGACGGGGCAAAATGTGTGGGGGGCCGTTGGCAGCGGAATCCGGGGCAGGAAGAAGGCGGATGTGGAAGGTGGACAACGGTTGACCAGGGACAGTCAACGACAACGGGCAAGCAACAGAGGGAAAACGACAAGGCCCGGCAGGCGGAGGTTTTATTCTTCTACACAGCAGACGGCCATCATAGCATAGATTGCTAGGTTTATCTTTTTCCTGGCTTACGAAAAACAAGAAGAGGAGGAAGAAGATGGAAGAAGAAGATGAAGAAGAAGAAAAGAAAGGACAAATAGTGACCTGGTCAACGAGCTGTTTAAGTTCTAATTTCTGCAGCTTCCCCAGTCAGATTCTATCTATATGTTTCCCTCTAGCTCGCTCGTTCGAAGCTCCCACGCCAATCAACATCTGCTTAGCTTCGAGGTTTATTCTTAGCTGCGTCTGGTCTGAAGATACGCACAGGAATCGACATTGTACACTATACATCCGTGCATGGAGCATGAATGTACTTGTTGGTAAGTACGATCCCTCAGCGAGGATCCCTGGAACAAAGAAGGATTATTCTTGTCATTTCGCTATTCCCCATGGAGATTCTTCATGTATAGATTGGATTCTGACGTATTTGACGGTCAAGCGCTCCCCAGCTTTCCATGGCTTGGGTCACTGTGGACCGTGGGGAAGACCGAGATAAGCTGCGATCCAAGATCCATGAACCCTGGATGCGAGATAAGAGAAATATACTAGTATAACTATATCCTGCACATTGATTCAGCTACAACATGAGACTGCAGGGTCGCATGGAGTAGTCATACCTGGCTGGGTACCTGCTGCTGCTGATGCCTCTGCGTATCTCAGCCATTTTCTGCGTCCAGGGATTAATCTCCCTTCCCTTCCCGACTTATTAAAATAGTCCCCATGTCACCTTTCGTCTAGTTATGTTTGAATTTGAACGGTTGCATAGATAGATATTCACGATACCAAAGCGGGCCCATTCTGCAGAACCTGGAGGTGTCTCACGGATCTAAATGTCTTCAACTCGAGGGAGAGTGGCCATAAGATCGCTGGATTCTCGTTGGCGGCATTGGCCTCAGGACTCTTGTATTTTATTTTATTTTTATTCGTTCAAGGCAGTTGCAGAGATAACTCAGAAGAAGTATTACTTCCAACATCATCGACCTCAACATCTTCGCCGTCATGACCCATCAATAGCCTTCGTCGCAGCTCATCAAGCTTCCCCGCCGTTAACTTTAGACAAAAGTCTGAGCTCCGCACTCCAGACCTTCGAAGGGCGATCCACGCTGCGCAAGGCCCAGTCCTTCCGCGCCCGCCGCCAATCTGATTTTAGCTGCGATCTAGCCAGAGATTCATCGAACTGAACCGGCCTAACGAACTTAATGTATACGATGTCGCTGGAGCTTCAACAAGGTTTGGCGTGTCCGAGTTCGTTTTCTCCCATTTTCTCGCCACGGATGCTGACATGATGTCGGTGATTGGTGCGGAGTTGCCGGTGGCTGAAGCACGTACTACCTTCTGCCCAGGACTCAATTATGGATCCGTGGCCAAAGTTTTCTCCCGAGTTTCTTTTACTTTGTCGATTTGAGCGACGAAAGGCATTGCAATTAACTAATTTTTTAACGGCAGTGACCAGGATCCGCGCCCCCTTATGTGGCTGAAATAGTTAACTTACGCAGTAACTAGATGAAGGAAAACGGGGGGAAAAAAAAAAAAAGAAAAGACAACCAGATAAGGAAAAAGCAAGTGACAAAAGGCGGGGGGTAGATATGAAGAGTGCATACGCCTGGCCTCCTTCATACCTCTTCCCAGAACAGCCATGTAGTGGAGCGCCTAGATAGAGACTAAGGGAAGCTGGTCGGATTGATTATCGGGGATTATGCTTACTGTGGCTACATATCCTGCTCAAGCCTCGATATCCGCAGCTTATTCTCGGAGCAGATATTCTTTGTTCAAAAATGAAGGTTGATCTGTTTACTGTCCAAATACAAAAATGGCCTGGCCTGGTTGTTGCAGATTCTATGTCCTGCATCGTTAGCTGTCGCGTGCATTCTCTTACGTATGCAAGGCATTTACTGTTCTGTTGTGAATGCAGCTAACAGGGAGAATGTCAACCAAATGGCAAACGAAGTGGATACATCAATTTTCTATCGTTTTATATATCTATAATTTTGCCTTCAGCAACCTGCGGGAGTATTTTTGAGGTATTTATTCTACTGCTGTAGTATGGTCAAGGTAGCTAAATCTAATGAAATCGAAATATATAAACAATCATGTATTTCACCATGACCTTGTGGCCAATCTCTCTGGGAGCTATCCATGCACAAAAGATGCGTTAAAAGAAGGCTTAGTCGCCCTCCGCCTTAAACTGTCTGCTTGGCATGTTATCTTGGCAGTTGTAGAAGCACTCCGTATGGATCAAATCCCCAAGTAGAATGATTAAAAATAGCTCAATTTCTTTGTAGATAGAAGTCATTAATATACAATGATTTCCCTATAGAATGGTCAAAATAATGATTCAAAATGATCAAATTCTTGCTGTTGGGATACATACAAGATGCGCAATCCGAGTGAATGACTAAGCTCATATCTACATAATTTGTGGTGATTGTGCTTCCAAGAGATCAACCATCCCACAAACATGCCCAACACCAACAGCAGGCGTCGATGCTCGGTCACCTGAGACCCCAATCGTACACAATTATGAATATCAGGGTTCCACTTCTTCCCTCCGCTCAGCTACAACCTCCTGCTTCATTCCCAAGTTCATATAATTGAGCCTTGCAACCTGTGCCTGCCATGGCTACCAGTGACCTGGCATACTCTGTTGACCAAGAAATCGCTGACTTCTTCGAGAAGACAGCAGTGACTCGCTCAGCGTGTGACACTTTTGCGAGCGAGCATCTTGGTGGAAGCATCGTTCCAGTGGCCGTGCAGGGTGTATGCAGCTATACCGTCTACGCCGGACCCAATGCCGAATTCGTTGTCCAGTTTCGCCTTGCGTCCGTACAACTGGGTATGGATATTGCAAATCTCGCTCGAAGCATCTACGGCCACTTTGCACCCCATGTGACATTTTTGGGGCAAATTGGAGAAGGAAGCGAGAGCAAAGAATCCCTTTACATCTATGTCATGAGCCGAGTACGAGGCATTAGTTACTTGGATTTTATCCTGGCAAATAACAGCCAGGTGCCCGAAAACTCACCTAAATTTTCTTCATGGCGCAGGAATCTTGTAATTGATATCGCGAAGTATGTTTAGCTTCCCACGTTCTCGTTACAAATACACCAAGTTGCTGATTACATATCTACACGCCCTATTAGGTTTTTTGCTCTTTCGTGGAAAGGTCCGCAGCAAGTTGATCAAACGTACCGCGACCGCTTGTACCATCGATACAAAGAAGACCTGGATTCGCTACTTGTTTCTCTCCCGGCCCGCTTCCGCCCGTTAATCCAAGAGTCTCTTAACTCATTACCGACTATTTTTTCTCTTCCCATGGTACTACTCCACAAGGACTTTGGTGTCTGCAACATTATTGTGAACGAAGTGTCTTGCAATCTAGTTGGAGTGATTGATTGGGCTGAAGCAGAGACCGCACCATTTGGCTTGAACCTATACTCTCACCAACGACTAATAAGTAAGATCCATCTCAAGAATGGTTGGGTTCGGTATGATGATTATGTCACTTTGGAGGACATATTCTGGAGCACATTCACCAAAGAAGCTGGAGGGCTGAGCAGTGACACAATTAGAGCCATCAAAGCTGCACGAATTGTAGGACTCCTGCTATCTCGTGGCTTCACAAGTCGTCTTGCGAATATGCCGAAGCCAGTACCTATTCGGGATGATGAAAGTGGAGCATATAACATGCGTGATCTGGATGGGCTGTTAATTAATCCAGCTACAAGGTTTATGGATTTAGCATAGACTATGGATACTGAAAATAGGATGGGAAAAAGGGAATAAGAGATTCAATAACCAACAAAGGGGGTCAATGTTAGAACATAATCATATTAAAGATCAAAAAGGAAGCCCATTTTCAAATAGTTAAATAAACGGCTCTTTAAAGAATACCAGCCATAGTGAGAGCTGCCTTCAGATCGTCGACATTTTCCAGTTTAGGAAGAGGCTTCCCTGCATTGAAGACCTTGTGATTGCCCGATGTCATAGCCGCATGGGTTTCATTTGCAGAGCAAACACGCGGCCTACCACCAGTCATCTCGAATTTCCAGCCTGTGATGCGGGTTGGCACAGTGTTCTTGACATAAGTCGACTCCAGCATGACAGTTCCATGATCGAGAATGAGTTCCGACATGGAGCTATCACTGCACCCAAGGACTTGAAGACCAATGAGACTTGCGAGATTGTTCTTGACAATATAGTTAATGAACTCGTCAAGAAACTCCGGTCCAACGCCAGATAAGTCAGGAAGAGGCCCATCCTGTAGCTCGTAAGCACACAGCCCGTCCTCAGCCAGGGCGAAGATGTGTCCATGAACACGGGAGGGATCAATCTTGTCAATATCGGTGACTTTAGTCCACCGAAGGGAGGGGCTTTCAAAGTTGGTCCCGAGCATGACGGTGCCTTTGGGAATCTTGAAGTGACCGTGGATCAAGTGAATCCCAAATACCTTTTCGACATTGTGACGAATGAAAATTTCCGCAAGGTCGGTAATATACGCATCAGCAACGGGGGGCTGGTTAGAGTCATCAAGAAGTGTGTTGTACCTGTAGGGTGTCAGATACTGGACCGGAGTCTTTCTACAGATAGAAAGGACAATTGGATTCATACAGAGCACCACTTGCGTGGAAATCCTGGGTCTCCAAAGCCGTATGGAGTCCAGGAAGAACGGAATATTTCGCAACTAGAGCCGCCATTCTAAAGTCTTGCCGGATGTGTTCAATGAAGGTATACAAGCCACCAAAAAGAGGTCTGAGGTATACTGGGTTAAAGAAAACACCATGGGAACCTGGTGCGTATTTATCTCTTGCCAAAGTCAAATGGCACTTGCCTGACCCACGAAGCTAGGCTCGAAATGCGGCTCCCACTACCACATTTGCTAATTTGGCTTCAAGCATGCAGCTGAAAGTCCGTGCAGTGTGGCATAAATCTCCTGAGTATTGTGATAACTTCCGCAATAGCATGTCCATCCGTCTCCGGTTCCAAAGCTTTCGACGAATGATATTGCGTCGTGACACCTGAAAGACATTCGACCAGGGCTCAAAAACGGCAGCATGCATGCGGTTGAGTGCGTAGAATCTGCTTAGTTGAAGAGGGAACCCTGTTATTTATCAGGCCAGTGCAGATGTATTGGAGGCATTCGAAGGGAAAAGAGGACAAAGAGATGGGTTGCATCTTACGGACACGGGGGATCTTAGCCACATCGTGAAGACATAAAGCACATGGTCATCCTGTTGTTAGGGCAAAAGAGCTCAATCACCACCAGCGCCATGGTGGTATAGAGGGGACGAATCACCCAATCCAATCCCTCCAACATGTGTAACGTATCATTTGCCATAGTCTCCTCACACGCTACATATTCTGCACTTATGGTTGAACGTGTTTATGTGAAAGTAACACGTCCGTACTGCATTCCGGATCTCGAAAAACGTAGAATAAAACTGCCACCATTCTCAAACTTATTATAGCAATCTGAAGCTATGCAGCGTGTAAGTAGCAGGTGATGATGGAGGAGTCAAGGCATGTACCGTCGCAACTTGAGTCTGCAGGTCATGTTATATACAGGCAAACATTGTCAAGCCAATTAAAACAAGAAATAACCCTATTGAGCTATCAATAACGGAAGCTGCCCACAAGGCTCGTTTGTGCCTGGCAGTTGTGAGGCCCAGACTTCGCCAAAACAATTTCAAAGTAATATGCCATGGCCTCATGCCAATGACCCGGGCTTCAATAATTTGGGCAAATGAACGAAGCTGAGACTAGCTAAGGCGATGATCATATATGAGGAAAACAAAGCATTGCGGTGCTCCTGAATTTCTGGTCAATTAAGCAAGCACGGCGGGCAGAATTATCAGTTGAAGTGCAAGGGCCTATCCCAGAAAGGAACAGCTAGATGGGAAGATGGTAGCCAAGGAGTCCTGACGCAGCGCAGCTCTCCTTCTGGACGGTCTTGGCGCGCTCACAGACCACTTGAAACACAATCAAGCGGTCTAAAACGCAGAGTTGTCGTGATGTTCATGTTGGAAGAGAAGCTATGCAATAGCAGCATCCTTAACAGAATATCCTATCTTACTGTCCCAGTTTGGCGCTTTATAGTATTTACGCGACCACCTTGCCACCGGCTGTTTTGTTTGTCATCTCAAGATGGCTGATCATCAAACAATTGAAGAGTAGCTACTGCCATGTTACCACTAGCGCCAATATTACCCAGGATCGGTATAGGATCATCTCGAAGTTAGGTTACGGGGCATACTCAACTGTCTGGCTGGTCTGGGATGAGAGGTTTAAATCACTTTCTTAACGTTTTTGTTTGCTGACAGTATGCTTCACTTAGCGTTTGCGCACGAGATGATGGGGCAAATACCTTTCCCATACTCAATGAAGTTTCCATGCTCCAGCACTTGAAGAAATGTGCTGCTGCTGAAGATTACCCTGGATTGCTCGTTACACGTCTTGCGGATGATATCTTTGAGATTAACATGCTATCTGGTCCCCATTATTGTGTCTTCTCAAAACCTCAAACCGGCAGTCTACGAGAATTATAGAAGACATTTCTTGAAGCCAAGGTGCTAAAGCTGCTTGTGATGGAGGTCCTTAATACCCGCTTATTTTTTTTGTGGCTGCATGGAAATTGCAACATAATACATACTGGTTTGTGTTTCCTAACTCACAGTCAAGATTACCCAATCTGCGAAATACATAGAGGTTGTGAAATTGGCTCTGCACACCACGCACAAGATATCTCACCTCAAGAATGTTTATCTGAGATAGAGGACAACACACCGTTCAAAGACATCAGGAGTGGTGCATGCCAGATATATACCGGGCTCCGGAGGTTCTATTAAAACTCCCATTCAGCTTTCCAGTTGATATGTGGTAAATTGGGGTCAATGTAACCTGCTTCGGCTTGAGTAAACTCCAAGCATACAGTACGGCCGCAGCACTGAGGACTAATGACATCTTATTGACTTTAGACTCTTGAGCTGATGGAAGGCAGAAATCCTTTTGATCCCATTAATCACGTTCACAACCAGTATGTCCTTCCGCTGGCATTGGCACAGCGTATTGCATATCTTGGGCCTCCAACCCTTACACTGATCCAACAGAGCCCCATCTTTTTGACGTATTTGGGCAAATATGGTAAGTACCTAGACTCCGGTTCATGTGCACATCGATCTTTTAGTCAAAGACCTGTCAGAAAGAATGAGCTTAACCACACATCATATCTATCATAAGCAAATTTACATTCGAAACAGAAATCCCCAAGGCTTCTCTTGAGGATTTTGTCACCACAATCTCACAATGAGAAGAAAAAGGGCACTTCCTCAGCTGAATTCGAAAACTCTTGACTTGGGATCCGGAAGCCAGACCAACCTCCTCAAAAGTTATTTTAGATGACTTGCTAATGATGCTATATGAGACAATGGTGTAGGTTGTGCTTCAAGCTTATCCATCCATGCGCAAACCTCTGAGGATCAATATAGAGAAGCGCACAAGCAGATAAAGAGAGCACATTGAAATATATGTCAGACAAATAATTAACTGAGACAGGGATAAAGGCAGTAAACATACAAAAGAGAGGAAGGAAAAAAGAGGGAAGAAAAGCAAAGCCATCTGTGCCTAATCCGTGCGCCGCCTCCGCTTTCCCAGATTCCAAATAAAAACTATAAAACAAGAGTATTGTGACAAAAAAAAATCTTTCTTTCCTAGTAAATGACAGCACGTTTACTTGCCTGTCGATTGACTCGCAAGTTCCCTCTATACAGGCAGGCGAAGATTATGAATGATGCTTCCACATCTCAGGAGCATTAAGGCATGTCGTGTATGAGTATAGGCCAGGTATGACAGGCCGATATCGATGCGAATGAGATCACCTGTGAAGAATCAGTCTTTCACAATTGGTTCCGGAATTTCTTGTGTTTCTTCCGTGTCCGCCCATCCATGGTGGGTGACAGATGACAGAAGACACCAGACACTAACATGTCCAAAACTGCAAAACGCAACCGTTTCGATTCATCCACTCCCGTCATCAAACAATCTAATCAGCAAAGCATATCCCAGCACCACTACCAACCCAACCCACATCTTATGTCGTCGAATCCAGCTCTGACCCACGTCCCGTGCAGCCTGACCGCCTTCCATCACCGCCCCAAGCCCCGCCGCACTGCCCGCATGTCGTCTGCGCAATGCGCTCGCTTCCGGCGAACACGTTGCTCCACTCCCGCCATTCGCGGAAGAGCCACTGCTGCTACTAGGATCCGGCAAAAATTGACCCGTAGCCGGATCCACCCGATTCTCCCTCATCCACTTCCAATTCTCCTGGTCCAGCTCTGCCCACTCGGTACGGAACTTCAGACCCCCATCGCCAGCTTTCACACTCCCAATGCTCCTCGTCGACGGCGACACGCCTGCCACTGCTTTAGCATGTGACCCGCCGCCCGTCGAGTTCCACCACCTCGAGCGCGCAGCGAGGATCTTACGTTCAGACTCAGAGGCACTGACGGATCCGGTTGTCATCTCCTCGCTGGTCATGAAGGAAAGGAGGCCGATGAGGATAGTGGAGACTTCCCAGGCTGGGTTGAATGATTTGGGGTGGAAATCGCTGATGCTGAGACAGAGGCGGGTGGAGGGCTGGAAACGGCCGGAGGGGGTGTGCATGCGGATGGCGGGCGGGGCAAACGGGTATTCCGGTGGGAACATTAGGGTACCCCAGTATTGGCCATTTTCATATGGAGTCTTAGGAGGCCCGGTGATTATGTAGTGCCATCTGTGGGTAAATCGTCAGCTTTCATTTTATTTTTTGGGGTGGCTGAGGGACAGGTGGAATAGTTTACTCTAGAATATTTGAATCGGATGGGTGCGCTATAATATATGGTGGCGGATTTTTTTGGATGTTCTGGTATTCGCGCACAAGCTAGTTACGAAAAACGCATGTCACTATTAGTAACTGCTCATTTCCAATGCTCTTTCCGTATACTTCCAGAGATAGCACACTCACTCGTTTATTGGCGGCTCTCGTAGCCATCTCGCCAACGGTGGGTCCCTCACAAGAGAATGGAGCGCAAAGACGTAGGAAGTTGCGAAAATAGAACAGCACAGGATTCGTAGGATGTGAATATAATAGGCGGAGTCAGGTAATGAAATGGGAAGTGAAGTAGAAGAATGGCGAGGATGAAGAAAGGGAAAGGTTGAAGCTGAGGTTGCAAAGGCCAGCTGGACCGCCGCTGTTCTTGCGCTTCACGTGACCGTGGCCGTTACCGTATCACGGTTCCATTCCCGCTTACCGAAAATCAGCAATTCTTCGATGGACTCAAACAACTGATATAGGTTAGCCATTGCAGAGCGTCGCGATGGGTTCACCGCTTGCAAGTGATGAGAATGTGAGTATCTAGTATATCCGTAATATGCCGAGTCCTCTATTTTGCTTGCTGACCAACTATACTTTTTCCTTTTTTCATAGATCTTCGAACTGCTGCAGCAACAGTCGGCCGATCCGAAGCTGCTCGAGGAGCAGCAGCAAGCTGTTAATGAGAGAATAAACACCATATATCAAAAGGCCCAAGCCCGGCTCGCTGAATTGGTTCGTCTTTTTTTGTTACTATTTCCGACCCTCGTCGTTCTGGAACAAATGCCGCCCTCAAAATTTATTCCGCTGGATTGGAAGCCGATTTTGCAAATTGGAACAAGGACGCTTATGAATGCAATCAAAATATTAGATTGACCAAAACTCCACGCTACCATGTACAATCTCATCTGTCCAAGTCCTCAATGCGAACAATACAAGGAGAGGTTTTCTAGAAAGAGTCCTCAGTCCTCTCTTGAGCTCAAATAATCACCGGCCGTATACTCTCTCGGAAGCCCTAAAGGAAATCTCAGTATGCACGGATACACTTAGCCGATTTGGTATGCTACCTATCTCGATTTATTTATCGTCTAATAGAAGATACATAAACCAAACTAATGAAAAAAAAAAATACATCAGATATCTTCGAACACCCCATCTCCGTGTTTCTCGACAAACCTTCCCAGGCTGACCCTTCCACAAGCCCCACTGACCTCGAAGTCTACCTCTCCGTCAAAGAGAAATCCCGTATCCTGCTAAAAACTGGCACGGATCTTGGAAATGCAGAAGGGTCCGCTTACACCAACTTTATGTGGCGGAATATCTTTGGTGGGGCTGAGTCACTGAATATCAATGCTTCGCTCGGCACCCGGACAAAATCCGCCTACCAGGCCACATTCGAAACACCTATCCTCAGCAACCCGGATGTCAGGTGCGAATTTGGTGGCATTGGAAGTTCGACGGAGAAGAGCTGGGCGAGTCATGAGGAGGCGGTCAAGGGAGGCTGGGCTAAGCTCCGCTGGCTTAGCGCCCACGGACACAGACATGAACTGGGCTACAACGGATTCTGGAGGCAAGTGACAGGTCTATCTACGAATGCCTCGCCAACTGTTCGTGGGGATGCTGGCGATAGCGTTAAGAGCAGCATTTGCCACACGTGGATCAATGACCAGCGCGATAACCCGTTCTTGCCCTCGCAAGGATTCTACATGAGGACTTTCAATGAGATGGCCGGTTGGGGTCCGCTTAAGGGGGACGTATCATTCTGGAAATCAGAGGTGGAAGCTCAGGGCGCCATACCGATTCCCATCCCCGGAGTGAAAGGGAACACTGGCTTCAGCTTAACAACAGGTGCCCGTGCTGGTGTGCTTTGTCCATTAGGTCTGGATACGGCTCGGAAACCCCAACTTTCCCGTATCAACGACCGCTTCCAACTAGGTGGCCCAACTGATGTGCGCGGCTTCAGACTCTCTGGCATCGGTCCACGGGAAGGTCCCGACGCATTAGGGGGAGATGTTTTCGCGGCGTGCAGCGCAAACCTTCTATGTCCTTTACCTCGGGTTGGGGCGGAGAAACCACTAAGACTGCAAGCTTTTGTAAACTGTGGCCGCTTGCTGTCACTAAAGACGCAGAATGGGAAACTACCGTCGACGCAAGGGGAGGTTATAGATAGTATTTTGGCGACCGTATCAGAGCTGAAGAATGGGCTGCCGAGCATGGCCGCAGGGCTGGGCCTTGTGTATGCGCATCCTGCTGCGAGGTGTGAGTTGAATGTATCTTTGCCTCTTGTCACGCGGAAGGGGGAGGAAGGGAGAAAGGGCTTGCAATTGGGGATTGGAATCAATTTCTTGTAACAGAAGGGAAAGGGTAGTGTACAGTACAGTTTTCAATGTAATAGAAACGGGATAAACCATCGTTGTATCTTCTTTCAAAAATCGGCATTTCATCAACTTAGCTGCCCGGTCTTGGCATTTCATACAAAGTTCCCACGTCGCCCAAACAAAACTACACCGACAAGAACAGCTAACTAATAATATCACCAACTACCGCCATCACTTGCATCTATACGTTACTTTCTGTCTGTCGCTTAGTGGGCATCATCACTCAAAATCAATCCCGGTAGCTCTACAAACCAGCAATTCATATCTTGAATACTACCTCAGTGCTACCGCCACCCTCTTCATCTCCGCACTCATCTCGCAAACACACTCATTCACTGTCTGCAAACGATACCTCATCCCGGCCGTAATGGCCCAATTCTACTCCCAGCATCAGCAGCAGCAGCCATATGGCGCAGCGCCCCAGCAGCAATCCGCACATAACCTCCAATTCTATCCTACCTCCTACTCATCCGTTTCTGGTCACACAACGCCTTCACAGGCCACATATGGCGGCTATGGTGTAGCTTCAGGCTCTGGCCCTGGATTTTCAGTTGGCGGGGGAGGTTCGGGGGGAGTTGGCGGATATGGTGGGCCTGCTTTTGGTGCTTCGTCGTCCGGCGTGAGTGGGCGCATGGGCGAGCAAGGTGGATTGAGGACGGGGTGGTTGGCAGCGTTTGGGACAGAGGGATATGAAGGCGAGCCGCCGTTGCTGGAGGAGTTGGGGGTTAATTTCGACCATATCCGAAAGAAGGTGAGAAATTTGTTTTTACTATTTGTCCATACAACAAATCCCCCACTCTCGATATACAGTATAAGTACGTTTTCCGTGCAGGCAACTAATTACTACATAACTAGACCCTTACAGTCCTCAACCCCTTCGCCCGCGTTGACCAACACCTCATGGATGACAGCGACCTCTACGGTGCCCTCCTCTACATAATCCTCTACGGCACATTCCTCCTCCTCTCCGGCAAAGTTTTCTACGGCTACATTTACGGCGTCGCCGTCTTCGGCACGTTCGCCCTCCACCTCATCCTCAGCCTCATGTCCCCTTCGCTCTTAGACCCCATCTCCACAGGTCCAGAAACATCCTCCCTCGTCGACTCCGTCTCCGCCACCGCCGGCTACCACCCGCACGACAAACCATCCGGCTCATCCGGCTCATCGGCTGCCCCAGGCCGCGCCGGACACTTCTCCTCAACCCTCACGTTTCCCCGCTCCGCCAGCGTGCTGGGATATTGTTTCCTACCCCTCGTGTTGACAAGTGGCATCGGCATTCTTCTACCCATGGACACGCTGTTTGGATACCTGCTAACGACAGCCGCGGTGGGGTGGTGCACGTACAGCAGCTCAGGGATGTTTTGCGCTGTGGCGCGGATGCGGGGAATGAGATTTTTGGTTGCGTATCCGCTTGCGTTGTTTTATGTTGTTTTTGGTATTATGGGCATTTTCTCGTCGAGGGGCGGTGGGTCGTTGGTTGCAAAGGCGACGGGGGGCTGAGTTCGTTTCCTATGTGTAATCTGTGAACTGTGGGCTATGTGTGAGCTGGGGTTTGTGGGTGAGATGCGACATTTAGAAAGGCGAAGGTGAAAGCAGATGGGAAGGGTGATGTTCTGGGTGTTTTCCATTTGCATTTAATGTCTTGTTCTTCTTTACGACTGCAGTCAATTTGGGTTTGGAAATGATAGATAACTCGATTGACTTAATTATATATTTATCTCTTCATGTGCTCAGAGCTTCCCTTGGTTCGGGTTTCTTGTTTGTTTTGTCTTATGTTGTAGGCATAGAAAACAGAACAAGTAAAGTCAATGCCGGGTAGGCAAGCTAGGTTAAACCCACTTGAAAGTGAGAGGAGAAAAAGCATATGGAAGCGGAGGGGGAGATAAAACAATGACAACAACGATAATGCAAGTGCTGTTCTATTGAATCTCAACGCTATATAAAATTGTGAAGAACGGATGAGAGGGACATGAATATCAGAATAAGGAATTTGCCGCATATGAACATATCCAGCCATCTAACTATATATGTATTAAAATCCCACCGTAACATAATCAGGAAAACCTATCCATTCTTGCTGTTTCGAGAAATCCATTTCATCGCAAGGCATAAAGAAGATGGGAAAAACACGCTACGCTGATGCCGCCTCCGCTATGATATTAAGCCCATATAGTCACGTTTACCATATTGCATTTTATGGCAACTTAATGAATGACTTTCTCCCCTTTAGCTGGCGCCCAATTCTTCAACCACTCTCTCGCCTTCCCTACGTCCCCCGCGCCCGCCTCAACGGCTGCAATGCACCAGGCGACATCGTATCCCTTATCGTTCATGCCCTCGCCAGTTCCAAGTTCCGCCCCAGTCCCAGTTTCGACAGCTAACAACTCAGCCAACTTTCGCCGCTGCTGGCTCTTTTCATCTGTGCAGAAATAAAACGGCGAGGTATTCGTATTCGCGGCTGCTGCTGCTGTTCCGGGGCCAACATTAATAGCGTCTAGAAAAGGTTTAATCATCGCGGAAATTTCCTTGCTCGTGAGAGCTGGTGCTACTTCACCACCGTTATCGGAAGATGTGACAGTAGAAGTAGCAGAATTTGAACGCCCAGTCTTGCAACATGGGTTGAGACACCACCCCTTCCCACATCCTTTTAGCATCTGCGTCATATACCGCCGCTCGATCCGACGACGCAGCGCTTTCCCCTCAGGATCATAGACGTCCGCATAGAGTGGGCCAAAGCACCCCGTGCAGAGGCCAAGCGTGTCGTTGCTATTATTATTGTGGTTGGAAATGGTACTACTATTGATGCCACCTTGTAAAGTCCGGCCGCAATTGCGGTTCGCGCACACTCGCGGCGCTGGCCGTGAAAGGCGGTCCAGGTCGTGGTGGCGCAGGTGCGTTTTCATGTCCTTGAGTCGAATGATTTTGCTGCAAAGGTGGCACTCGGTCGTGCGCCCGCCATCGGTGAGTTCGTGCGGGGTTAGTCCCGACAGTAGTACTTCGGGGTCGTGCATGTCTGGGTCTGCATCTCCCTTTTGGGGCACGATGAGGTGACAGAATTGACAGAGAATGAGTTTTGCGGGGCAGGTTGTAGTGCGGTGGTGGGCGAGTATGGGGAGGCTGGTAGCTGTGAAGGGGCAGTTGGGACAGACATGCGGCGTGTGGAAGATTTTGTTGTGTTTTAGTTGACTGGATTGGTCGTTACCGTAGGAGGAATCGTGCGGACAATGCCAGTGATTTTCCCATTCAGGGGATCGTTTTTGAAAGACGTTTTCGCATTTAGGACAGAGGATGTTGTTACGGAGACAGAAATTTTCATGCAGGAAAAGGGTACGCTCTGGAATCCATTGGTGGCAATTTTTGCATTGGGTATCATTTGCATCATGTTCGGCTTCCTCCAGGGGAGCCAATGTCTCTCCTGGCATAACAATCTTTGTGCGGAGGTTGAATTTCAACGGAGTTGTAGTTGTAGAGGTAGTGTCATTGACATCTGGCGTGTCTCCTGAGTAGGCATGAACGGAGATATAAAGAGATTCTGCATCCTGAAGCTCGACATTAGTGGGTTGCAGACAGATTCGCTTCGGGGAGAAGCTTGAGAAATCCCCAAAGACATGTTCATTGTCCCTGGGTCGGCTCCTTTGTCTTGCTGAAAATGGGCTGATAAATAGGTCCACGTCTGCACCATCTGCTACATCGATTTCAACATCGAAAGCACGCCCATGGTCCCAGTCGTTAAGTTCGTAGTCAACATACTGCCCTGGCAACACTTGGCCGCTAGTCTCTTGCCCTTGAGATAGCTTCCCACCTATAGAACTTCCTCCCCTTATTCCTGGAGCACGAGAAGCTTTTGCTAACCGCTTCTTTAAGGTCTCGCGAGCCTGCTCCTCATTCAGCGCTTCGATATCTACTTCCAGGTCAGTATCCACAATGCAAATTCCGTCCCCTTGGGGTTCTACTTTGTCAACCAGGAACCTAAAAGTTTCATTCCGGGGCCCAGGAATTAGCAGAAGTTCCCCAAGAGTCAAAGTTGTGAAGTTCTCGCGTAGGTGTCGTTCCAGAAGGGCTTTCCAATCCTCGGGGTCATACCCCGCCTCAAGAGGGCGTAGGCGAACATAGGACCCCCTCGGCAGCCGTTTCGCATGTATAGTGACCAGCGGCCGCTTCGTCATATCCGAAACCTTCCCAGATTCTAGCATATCTACATCAGAAGACGAATCCTCCCCGGTAGAGGGGAAAGCGACATCGTCGAGACCAAGGCTCTGACGAAGGAAGGAGCTCAAGCCAACTTCATTCTCCTGTGCGGAAAACTCGCGAATACCGGCATGGACGACCCGGCCGTTCGAGGGATTAACTATACGGAAAGTAAGAGGATTTGGGAGCTGCTGCTGTCTGTTTTCAAATAGTTCTCTGGCTCGCCGTTCGGCAGCAAAAGTGTGTGGGTTGAAAGGATCGAACTGCGGTGTAAGAGCGTGAGTATGCGCAGATTCTACGGAAGTAATTGGAGCCGCAGCTAGGAGCTGTTCGAGCGCGGAGGGAGGCAGAAGAATCTTATCTCCTGGTAATTTATTTGTTCGGGTCGGAGGGGCGACAGCGAACTGGGCGGACCATTGTAGGGTATCCGAATCCGAATCGGTCGCCATGATACACCGAACAGACGGCGAATTTTGGAGAGAAAGAGGTTTGAAAGAGGCTTATGGCATTGCCTTCTCTCCCCATCCCACACCAACTGTTTATATTCCAACTGCTGGAGGAACGGACAGAACGCGAACAAGCCCCAACACTTGGGGGCCGATTACCAACGTCGAAGTTGTTTCCAGAACCCCCGATAATTATCTTATCTTATCTAGGTTATCTCCACGTGATTTTATCTGATGTCTCCTGTGAATGCCTTCCAGCGTTTGGAGAGGCTATCCAATACAATATTTACGCCTTTTCCCGAACAACACCATGCCAATTTCCCAAATAACACATCGATTATGGCGACAACAACAGAACCACCTCAAGATATCAAGGCCGATAAGACGGCAGACTTCTGCGATGATGTTAAAACTGAAGATGAGCAAATCGACGTCGAAGCAATTGCCGAGCCCTGGCAAAAGTACAATCTAAATGGCACTCCCAATGTCTTCTACCCCCTCTGCCTTGGAGAAGTGCTCGATGAGAGATACTTAGTAGAGCATAAAATTGGCTTTGGGGGCTTCTCCACTGTCTGGATGGCCCATGATCTTAAGACAAAGAGAGATGTAGCCCTCAAGATATTTTCCTTGGGAGAATGGGGGGAACACGAAACTCACATGCAGAATGAGATCCTGCAGAACGTGCAGGATACTTCCAACCTTGTAACTTCTTCAGCAACCTTTCTACTTCCTGCTGGCAACCCAAAGTCTCATCATAGGGTCCTAGTGCTTCCGTTGGTGGGCCCATGTATTACATCATTTGTCTTGGACAGAATGCCCCTGGTCACTCGTATGTCTGCTGCTAAGCAATTGCTGGAGGCCTTGGAAAAGATGCATAAAGCTGGCATTATACACCGTGGTGAGTAAACTCTGCCTCCCATCCTTGTTCTCAGTGTGTATCCTGGTAGTATTCTAACGGATTTCCCCGCAGACTTGAATGAGAGCAATTGCATGTGGGGGATGGTTCCGCTCCATAATCTCAGCAGGGCAGCTAAATATGAAGCACTTGGCCGGCCATTAAAGGAGGTTATACCCTATGTCAACCTCTGGAGGCAGGGAGAGCTTGTTCAACCCATTGATGTCCCCCAGCACTTATACACTGAGAAATTCTATCTTGGGGACTTTGGTCTATCCATGAAACTTGGTGACTTGGTGATTCAAAAGGGTTACCCACCTATGCCCTTTTGCTCCCCAGATCGACTTCATAGGCAAGGCCCAAGTTTCGCCTGTGACATGTGGAGTTACATGGTTATCTTCGCACGATTGTATTTTGGTTTCATACCTTTCCCAAACCAGGGTCGGGGTGAAGTATCTAGCATGGTCAAATGTTTGGGCCCATTACCTGAGCAATGGAAGGGCCATTACACCCACTCTGGAGCCCTGGATTCCTGGTATGATCAGCATCAAATACCTGATCCAAAATATAGTCTTGCAGCAAAGATTTCAAGATATCGTCCTGAAGCTGACCAGACTGAGCAAAATCATGTGCTCTCCATTATGTCCAAAGTTTTTACTTTTTGCCCTGAGAAACGTCTGACTGCGACCCAGCTTCTGCACGACCCTTCATTCAAAGCTGTCATGGAAAAATATGGTTGTTGACCGAGCCGAGCACGGCCTACACCGGTTGTTCTTACTACGGGCAAACAATACGCAGTATCCCAGACACCAGCTGACGTCTGCGTGAGGCCGGTCCGGGTAGTGTTTTCCATTTATGGATTTTGTTGGAGTGTTCGTTGGCGAAACTATAGCACGCGGGCAGGAATAAAGGACGTTCGTGTCAAACGAGTTGCTCAGGGGAACCATCCAAGTATGGCTTAGAGATATACATCTGTTGCCTGCTCTGTTCTAGCGCTATATGATGTACCAAGTTCAAATCTAAACACAATCCCTTTTCGAAGCCAATCTTGACAAAAATCCAACGGTAGAGGCTCTGTGGTGGACGCTGATACAAAAGACGCTTGCGATGTTCTTGCTGCAGCTGGAAATAGGTTACCTGTAGAGGCAGCACGACCGAGCAGCTTAGTTGAAGCTACAGCGGTACCGTGCTCTGACGGGCAGACAACTGGGTGGAGCAAGTTAATAATCCCGCGACTGCAGGATCCAACAGAACCAAAACCTAAGGCCTCTGAGAGATAATGCACTCAGAAACGTGATATTAGTCGGCCACGGACGAGATGTTTTGTGATATCTCCCTCCGAGAGTTGGGGCTAGATCTTGTTGACTTTGAGCCGGATGCTGGGCAACACAGGAAGTAGGTTTTCTTGACACGACTACTTGATATTTCTGTAGCCATAGATATACAAAGAGCAGATTGCAGCCATAATTTTTCTGGGTTGGTGAAGAATCTGTACAGAGAGTGAGGTATTATTCCTGGCTCAGTGAATTCCGTAAACCGAGGCAAATGACTCTCCTTGACATGGAAATCATCTGTCGGAATGACTGATGATACCTTCTACTTCTCGTCCACGAGCTAGAGATGGAGCAAATGATGCAAATTTCATTTCAGACACTAGAATCCCTGCAGCAGATGAAGCTGGAAGAGCCATCGAGTGCATGCAGCGCCTTTCAGATATTTGTCCCCGATGTTTGGAAATCATACCCACCAGTGGCCTCGAATCAACTGTCAGCATCCCATTCATTCCATCATCACTGAGGCGAAATCGGGAAGGGGATTACACATATTTAGATGGAGCTTCACCAGATGGAGGCCGGTGCCATGACCGCAGGGTGTGCTTGATATTCCATTCAAGGATTCATCCAAAGCTAACCAAGTTAAGGTATCAACGAAATTCAGTCAACTGGAAGGCGTGAGTAAATGGCACACGCCAATTATAATAAAATAGGATGGAGTCTAAGAATACATGCCTGCGATTCCGGATAGTTGACCCTCTTTATGATAGCTGCTCCCAGGGCATCGATGCGCCCACTTTACCACCCCACATCGCCGCCCCGCCGGAAAGTGATAGATTGAAAACCTCTTCTTTCTTTGGGCATCTCCTCTACATGGATTTCTAAACGCCCCGACCGATAGATAGGTCCTAATACCCGATTGATGCGGCAGTTTATAGACATTCATTTAGAGGGATTGTTGGAAATGTCAAAATGATGATCGGTTCTGAAGCTGGGGTTACTCACTCATCTTTAAGACAGTGAGAACTGCATGCAACGAAATTTTGCTTTCTTGAAAAGCCATTCTCCCCATAACTTAATTATAACTGCTCTGATTTGTCATATCCCCCGCAGACAGACATACATCCAAGATTTAGAGAGAGAGAGAGAGAGAGAGAGAGAGAGAGAGAGAGAGAGGAAATAAAATTGATATTTAGCCATGTGCAATGTTTATTTTTCAATGTGTAAAACGAATGAGAAGAGTGACCCTCCCGCTGCCTACCTACCTAACCCGGCATGAAACATATATATATAAAAGCCCAGACAGAATAAACAAACAAAAAAAAAATCAAAACAAGGATTCGTCCACTTCCGCAAACTCCAGATTTAACACCCAGTTCAAGTAAAATTTAACAATGGGATATATATGGAAAACGCCTTACTCGCATTCATTTCATATCAAACGAACAAAAAGAGATCGAGGATATTTAGGTCAGGTCAGGTCAGGTGAGATCCGACCAAATGAGGGAACTAAAATACGAGTTCAACTTCAGCGTGAAGAGAAACTGAAACACAAAAATAAATTGAGTGGAAAATCGTATCCGTATGACGAAACAGGGTATTTCAAAAAAAAAAAAAAAAAAAAAAGGGAGAAAAGGAAAAGAAAAAGGAGGGCCATTAAAAAGGTATGTATGCGGTGTAAACGAAAAGGGCAACGAAAATGGGCGAGAGAAGAAGTGAAGTGAAGTAAAGAAACTGAGGAGAAATTGCTGGCCCGATCCTGGATGGTGGGTTGCTGAGCATGAAATTGAGGGAGTAGCGATTGCGATGGTGATGGCTTTCCTAAAAGGGGATGAGAGGAGCGGGAGAAGGGCATGTGAACGATATGGAGCGGAGAGGGGCCGGTTGACCTGGTTGTAGGTTTAAAAAGGATAAGAAAACTTGGACAATATTGAGTGGAGAAAGGGTAATGAAGATGGTTTTTTCTTTTTTCTTTTCTTGGTATGCGATGAGAGGTTCGAATCGGTCTCATGCAATTTGCGGGGGAAGTCTTTCCCAGCAGCGCCTATGTTGTCATATTCCCCAGCACCCATCCGTAAGAGGGATGAAAAGATAATAAAGTGGGGCCTCTTCACCGTTGCTGGATGTGCGGTCCCGGTAGCCCAAAGTGGCTTATATCTAACCATGAAGTGCAAAGTGTTAGATATTCCGTTGAAGATTGGCATCGATCAAGGAACCCTCTGTCGCCGCCCGCTGGAATTGCACCAATCGCACTAGATAAATAGTTCTCGTAAGAATTTTTCCCTTATTTCATGCCACGTATCATTTTTTGATGGAGATAGATCTGGGACCGCGGTTGATCTATGCAAATAAAAGGAGAGTGAAATGGATAAGAAAAAAAAAGGGTTTTAACCTACCTTTGTATCGGTGCATCCATCATTGTGCTCAACGCAATACTCACCCTGGCAGGTAGTACAGGTCCGCTGGACTTCTGCTTTGCAGGAGCCGCACTATTTATTTATAGTGGAACAAATCAGTAAGTCCATTGAAGCAACGATAATTGTATAATTGTCGGCGGTTCAGGAGATGAGCGTGTCGTGGAGGTGGAGAACTTACAGTAGCTCCGCATTCCCAACAATCTCTGCTGACACCTGTTATGAAGCGCTGTTTATATATAGGAAAAATCATGGTTAGCTAAATTTGTTTTCCAAGTTGGTAAAGAGGGGTGCTGGATAAAAATAAGGGAAAGGTGTGTAAGTGACTCGTGTGGGAGTGCGCAAGTGGTAAAAAAAGATATTCAAAGCCATGTATTGCTACATGGTAAGTACAAGATAGGTCAAAAGGCTAAAAGCATACTTCCTTCAATCATATCACCATTTTCATACAAAGAAGTGCTGGCCTGCGAAATTTTGTTTTTGGGTTTTCAATTTTTCTTTTTCGGTCCAAAATTTTCGCATTCAAGTCACCCTCGTATATTGTCATGGGATCGAACGAGAGGAGGTACTAGTAGCTTCGGTGTGGCATTGGAGACAGAGACCGTTGTTGAATACCTTTGGGTGTGAGAAGCCCCCTCCCCCCTCTCCAGATCCGGACGAGGAGGAGGATGAAGGTGAAGACTGGGACGCGGTCTGATGTAACTTGGCGTGATGCCTCAGCTTTTCTGGGTGAGGGAGGCAGGCTGAACACCACCAGCTACCACAACGGTTGCACCAGCGGTTGATCAGGCATTCTTGGCACTGCATTATCAGAGCGGGCTGATCATTGGCAGAGAAGACGGGGGACTTGGCGGCGATGATCCGGGAGGAGTGGAGCGGGGGAGGCGTCAGGAGTGGGAATTGATACTCGGGTGAGTGACTCCATAGTGCCGGACCTTCAGGTGAGGTGCGACAGCCCTCGCAACCCCTGGGGCCGAGAGCAACTGTGGCGATTGCTGGTGATAGATATCTGGGCGGCTGCGTGTCGTTCCCTTCCACAGAGACAAAGGGTTGATGGGCTGGGCTGCGGCATAACACCGCATCAAACGAGATGATTCCGTTACAAAGCTGCAGTGTCTCTGCCCATCCGTTGGGCATGGCTTTTCTAAGCACTTTGCCGGATGCTCTGTACCACGGATGTCTCCATGTCAGCTGATCATGGTGATTGTCTTTGGCAGTCGTACACGCATCGGCGGAATTGCAAAGTTGATTGTCCAGTCTGTCCCTTCTAGCGACTGTGGAAGAATGGTGTGTTTGCTGTCTGCTGTGTAAGATATTCTGCGAATCATCCTTGGCTGTAAAATGATAGATCCCTTTCACTCTCGGCATACCCTTCGGCCGGGAAGGCCTGACGGCATACTGCAAGGTCTGCATCAACTTACGCTCGTTTAGATTGAGACAGTCCCTAATTGACAGCAGAACGACGTTAAACCTGTCCGTTAGGATAATATCGGCGATGAGGTCTGCGGGGACGGAGAGACCATCTAGAATGAGAGTTCTGACATCCTGTAAGATAGATCGACGTCCCAAACCAGAAAAGATGCCTCTCAAGGGACCTGAGTAAAAATCGTCTTCAGTCAAAGATTCATCCATGCGCTCGCTCCTCCACACCTCACCGCCTGCATCTATGGGACCCATTGACGGTGGAGGCTGAGCGGCGCGGCATGTTGTCAGATCCATATGCCGAAAGACGTATGGAGTATCCATTATGATGGAATGGAAAGCGGTGCATGTTGAAGCTAGCGAGAGTAGAGAGGAGATCGAAAGATAGGGCGCGATGTGGTCAAGAATAAGGGAATTGGATAGGAGGTCCAGTAGCGAAATGGACGCTGGAGTGTGTGAGAGAAGAAGTGAAGAGCTGGTAATCTGGGAGACACGGCCGACCAGATGGTGTTTGTACGCAGCCATGGCGCTAGTGGCGATGGTTTCGTGCATTGCGGTACAATAGCAGGAGGCAGAAGCGGGAGAGGAGGAAATTGAAGTTGATGTCGCCGTTGCCGGGTGACCCTGTATCTCCTGGAGCGCAGCTCTGGCATTCGCAAGTTCTGTTTCCAACAGATGGATAGTCGATTGTAAGACAATGGGCATGGCTTTTGTATTGAGAGGATCAATGGCAGTCATCAAGGTAGCCCATAGCTGCCCTTGGGCCATATCAGGCCGGCTGATATGGGAGGATTTACGTGTGTGAATTACTAGCAGTTCTTGTGCTACTTTTAAGCTGTTCCGGTAAATGGAGAGAGTGGCGGTGAATCTCGAATCTCGAATCTCGAGCTTGCGGAGGCGAACTGGAGCTTGAAATCAAGGACAACCAGGGCACCGAAAGTTAAATCCAAGAGTTGATCCCGCAGGAAACCGACAAACCAAGTATGCCGGGGAAGCCGGCCAGCGGGACGACTGCAAGGAAAAGAAGGTCAAAGAAGAGCAGCAAGTAGCCAGCTGGAGAGGACGTGGTAAATGTTAGGGTAGAGGAAGAGGGAGAAGGGGATTGAAATGAATAAAAGGGAAGCTTTAAAGAAGTGGAACCAGTAGCTTGGGGAAAAGCGGCAATTCGAAGCGTACAGATCGAAGCTGGATATATCTCGAGTGCCGTAAGTTTTGATATTTACTAGTAGGTTATGATGTATAAATATATCCTTTGCAAGGCCTGTGGGTAAAAAGGACCATCGAGGGTGGAGAGAAGAGCGGTAACTATATATTTATACAAGACGACAAACCTCAACCATCTGTGTTGGGGTGGCTAGATAACAGCGATGCCAAAGCATAATAACAACATCCTAATAGGAATAGCAAATAGCTTCATATCAGAGGCTAACTTGGAGCCACGCCCGGCGCTGCGGGAGGGCGGCGAACTCGGCCAGCACAACTCATCGCAGGCCGCTATCGACATCGGCCACCGCTAGCGTCTGGGCGAGGGGAGGCGGTGGAGCTGAGAGGGACAAGCAGACTGAGCAAGAGGTCCCTTTGATACGGCCTGATTGTCGATTTTCTGACTATCAACAGATCTACCGTCCCGGCTTCGCATCCAGATTATCCTTGGCCCTGAAAAGAAAAGAAAAAGTCCAAACAAAAGTCAACCTGCAGCTCTCCCCCCTTCGCCCTCCAGCTGTTGCATACGAGCACTAGGATTGGCGGAACGGTGTCCATGTCCCGCATATTCCTGTCAAGCTCCCTACATACCCACCCACACTTGCATTGTGTGCGCTAACTGCTGCAGCTCTACGCAGCACTGTGTCTTCGTGCCTCTCACTAACCACCTCGATTGGACAGGGAAAACACGCCTGTGAGTTAAGGCGGAAAGCCTCGTCCTCGTCCCCGACATGATAGCCTAGCATAGGCAGCTCTCGACCCTGGATCGCTCCGCTCCCCGGAGTTGCTAGATCAGACTCCGAAGAGGAAAAAGCAAAATGGTCACAAGACGCGGTGGAGAATTCCTTGTACAGCTCAGGAACTTGAAGGAAGACCCAACAGGTCAGTCAGTGGATAGCTGCTCACTAGTTATAAAAGTCGTGCTTGTAGGGTCTTGGAGGCAGAGCCATACACAGGCTGATGGAGAAAGCGTTTCAGAAGAACTAACCTGTAGTATTATATCCAAAGCAGTTGGCAAGTAAAAGTGCAATTGACGCGAGCTGGCCCTTTGTTCCTCATGCATGAGTTAGTATACTCCGCCTATTCAAAAAGCATAGCACACATGGAAAGGCTTATTGTGCAGAAAACCCCCCTCCATAGCTTCGAGTAGGGCGTTCGTGGGCCCAATGAAGGAGCGTTTGTAGATGCCGGTAGACCAGACTTGCATATGCACAGAATATGCTGAGCTGTTTTTGAAACTCTCTGGCACGATTCTGTCAAATAACCAGGAATACAATACTCCGTAGATGAGATGGCGTCTGCAAAGAGGAGATGTTTTGACAGATCAACATGTATACATATATTTACGGCTTCTTTTGAATGTTTCTGTCAATTGATGCCCTGTATATACCCCCACCCAACTGCCTGTAAGCTCAGGAATATAGAGAACTAGTTTATGTGGAGTCATACACTCTACATAGTTTCCAACTCCTAAGGAGGAAAATCAAAAGATGGCAGCAAGACGCTACGTGCCTTTTCTACACAAGATATCTAGGTGCCTACGTGCACTCTATAATTGTACAGTACAGAATGATGCCCAAAAGAAAAGAAGCAAAACATGGGGAGAGAAATGAATGATTATGGGAGCAGTGAGACGAAAAGAAAATTGAGAAGGGGAAACGGTGTTTAAGAGAGGTTTATAGTTAAGGTAATGTAGAGCAAAATATAGGCGGGCTCTGGGTGAATGAAACCTGTCAGACCCGAATCCCGATCCCGCTCCGTAAAATGGCCCATATTCTTCATGCCATAACTCGGTTGGCGTAAGGAGGGCCCGACTGAGCTAAGTGAGAAGTGGCTGGAGACGGTTGGATTTTCGCCATGATTTCTTCGTGTACTTTTACCCTGTGAAAGCGGACTACATTAGCTGGCGACGGGCGATACCAACTTCGCCGATTGGATTTATCGCTGCCAAAATCGAAAACGAGAACACCGCGTTTTTCTGCTTCTTTCCTCCCTCACTGGTTCTATTTCTTCTTCCCACCCTTTTATCCACCCTAACCACAACTTCTCGATTACGCTTATTTGAAGAATTTCTGCAAACTGATTTCCTTGTCGTCGTGTTTGTTAAGCACCTTGGCAGTCGCCAGGTCAAAATCCTCCTGTGTAACATGTACTCGGCGCTCGCGCAATGCGTACATGCCGGCCTCTGTGCAGACGCCCTTGAGCTCTGCGCCGGAGCAGCCATTCATCTTCTCAGCGATCTTAGTGAGGTTGATGCCGCGGGTTAGGTTCATGGATCTGGAGTGGATGCGGAGGATGTCTGCGCGGGCTTCGACACTGTGATTGATTGGATGGTCAGTAGGTTGTTTTTAGGTGCAATTTGTGATGTGGAAGACAGGCTTAGCTTACGTGGGTGGGGGGAATTCAATCTTTCGGTCGATTCTTCCAGGTCTTAGGAGAGCAGGGTCGAGGATATCAAGACGATTGGTAGCCATAATTATTTTAATGTTCTTCGTAGGTTCGAATCCGTCCAGTTGATTCAGCAGTTCCAACATGGTGCGTTGGACCTCGGAGTCTCCTCCACTACTGCCTTCCACACGACTGGATCCGATACTGTCAATCTCGTCCATGAAAATAATGCTGGGAGCATGTTCGCGAGCCATAATGAACAACTCCCTGACCATCCTGCTGCCTTCACCTATATACTTCTGAACCAGCTCCGAACCACTCACCCGGATGAATTTGCAATCTGCGTGATGTGCCACTGCTCGTGCGAGGAGAGTTTTCCCGGTCCCTGGAGGTCCATATAAGAGTACGCCCTTTGGCTGTGCAATACCTAGCGACTCGAAAAGTTCCGGGTGATTGAGGCCGAGTTCGATGACTTCTTTGATTTCCTTGATTTGTTGATCAAGGCCACCGATCATGTCGTATGTGCTGTCTGGGACTTTCTCAACCATCATTAGCGATACGAGCGGGTCAACTGATGATGGAAGCATTTTTTCGAGCTTGTATGAATCCGAGAGCAGTGACACTCGTTTCCCTACTGTGAGCTTGGAGATGTCGACATTATCCGCGACATCAACAACTGGGTAATATCATTAGCTGGGTTCTGCTGACCTATCCTGGATCCAAGCCTCAAAGACAACCTACCGTATTTCCCTTCCGGATGTACCTTGACAAGCACCTTCTTAGTGCCCATAACCTTGACCACTTCGCCGACGTAAGATCCCGGTTGTTGTAACAGACCAAGCTCTTCCCGTAGCAGCCTTACTCTGGAGTTGTAGTCATTCCGCTGTGCTTCAAGCCGCCTCAAGACAGCTTGGCCTTGGATGATTTCGAGCTTCATGCTCTCTATCTTGTTGCGAAAATAGCTATCGAGCGCCATGATTTTGTCTGGAAGCACCCGTGGTTGGAGCTGACAGTTGGAGAAGAGAATCGCTCCGGATGGATGTAAGGGAGCTGAGTGTCGTAATAGGAGGAAAACGGAAACAAATTGTGACAAAGGGTTGGTCTGGTATTGGGTGAGGATTGTGTGTGAACAGGATAGAATTCTCCCTAGCTACTAGGTAATAGCATCGTGTTTTCGTCACAAACATAGACAAGTCCTCTCTGTTCTGATACGATGAAAGCCAAGGAACCTTGGCAACTAACTAGCTAGGCAGATTAGTCATCATACGACCAACTTGCGGCTTTTGCCCTGTTTGCCCTGTTTGCCCTGTTTGCGATGTTTGTTATGGATCAGGCGGCTCTTTGAGCTCCCACTGCGCTAAGCCTGTTCTTTATTTAGCTCCAGCCAGCTTGCATCTGCAGCTGACTTGCGCAACAGATAACGGGCCGGCCTGGGATCTCCGCCTGTCCGCTGCCATTTATTTCCTGCGGATATATCCTTTTCCTAACAATCTCCCTTCTCTCTAGTAAGGAGATTTTGTGGTCTCTGATGCTGTTGGACCGTGGGGTTGATCTGTCCCTGGACAACCCCCCGACTACATCCCATCAGATAGCTTTGTTTACCAAACAAAAACTGGCACACGCTGTATTTCAGACGTCCATATCACTACCTACTGCAAAAATAAACTAGAATAATATATTGTTCTTCCATATTTCGCTCTCGCGCTGATATGAATTCTCGTGCCAATCTCTCTTGAACGACCCCTTTCCTGTGCTACCAAGATTCTCTCATTGTGCCGATTTAACACCTTCAACACCATGGCATCCACCAACAATAATAAAGATTCTCAGGATCAATCACTGTCTTCATCAGCTTCAAAACCGGCAGAGAGTAACCCTATTATCGAGACAGAGCAGGACGCTCAAGCTTCACCTGGCAAACGACCAGGAAGGCCTAGACCAGCGCAACCCCAGCGGAGGACTACTTATGGTCAGAGGCCTTCAATATACTTGAAAATCTTCCTTTCAATGGCTAACGTGTTTCTAGGCACAATGGACTCGCAGGATACAGGCGGACGCGGATCTCGCACGGAAGGAAGCTCCGTGACGACATACGAGCCTATTCGACCGGCTCACATCTCCTGGCGGTCGTCGGAACGAACACCTAAAAAGCCACCAACCTTACGCAGGACTTCTACCAAACCACATAGAGGTCAAGAATTCTCAGTAGATGATGATCCAAGGGAATATGAGGAAGACAATGCCCTTTATAAACACCCCTCCGTGAGGTCGACTGCATCACTTCGTCGAAGGGGTACCCACATCCAGCAACCCATGCTCGAACGTGTTGATTCGAGAGACGAAAGTGCAAATGATGATATACCATCAGCTGAATCCAGTGACCGCTTAGGTGATGGCCGGGGCGAGCCCTCTGGACTCAGCATGGGCGTTGATGGTGACGACGATTCTCGTAGCGACGTGAGTGATGCGGAAAGCTTCACGCTTAAAGACCGCCAGCAAGCCATAAATGAGACCCATCCATTTGGTATAAGGATCTGGAAACCGGCTCTTTATAAGAAGCTTCGATCTGTCGAAAAGACCGCAGAGGGAGATATCCATTCGGTGCCCGGAGAGCGAGTTAGCAACTGGCTCTATATGGCCAATTTTCTATGGTCAATCATTTTCGGTTGGTGGTTGGCGCTGGCTGCCCTTCTCGGCGCTCTTGCCTGTTTTCTCTTGGGCTTTTCGCCCGATTCCATGGCTTATGGGAGAGTGTTTTCCCACCTGTCTCTCTACCTACTCTATCCTTTTGGATCCTTTGTCCGTCTCGAATCCGATGAGAACTACGCACTTGAAGATGAAGGTGAAGGTCGCAGTATCAGCGAGTATGAGCAATGGCAAAGTGGAGATCTTGAACATGGAAGACTTTTCTTTGGCCCTATTTCTGATAGGTCACTGGTCGGACGTCGCAGAAATAGCATCGACTCCGCTAGTGAAAATGATAGCCTGCTTGGTAGGACAGGAAGAGCATCGCGAGAGGAGAATTCTTTGAGGATCAAGAAACGCTTTTTCGGCCGCGGGGAGTGGACCCTTGGAAGAGTCATATTTTATACGTGGTTCTACTTTGTGATCGGTCCATTGATGCTCCTTGTCTCTCTTGTCTGCTGGTTGATGGTCTTCTGGATTCCCATGGGCAGAGTCACCCTTATTTTATTACACCATCTTCGCCGCCATCCTCTGGCACTTTCGTTCCATTCGGATACGACTTACACTCGGTCACCCTCTCGGCCTTCTTCTTCTATCTTACTTTGTACGTACCGCGCTGCTGGCCTTAAATACTGGAAATACACCATCGACGGGACCAACATTTTCCTCATCAATCTCCTTGCTGTGGTTCTGTTCACCATTCTAGATTATTTTGTCTTAAACCAGATGTTGAACGTAAAATCGTGGATCACTCACTCCGGCTTGATATTTTCATTAGCTCTAATGTCCATTATCCCTTTGGCATATTTCATCGGACAAGCTGTGGCGTCCATTTCCGCTCAATCATCAATGGGATTAGGTGCTGCTGTCAACGCCTTTTTTTCGACGGTGGTCGAGGTATATCTCTATTGCATTGCCCTAACAGAAGGCAAAGCCCGGCTCGTGGAAGGGAGTATTATCGGGAGTATTTTTGCGGGTATCCTCTTTCTTCCCGGGCTGTCAATGTGTTTTGGCGCCATCAGACGCAAAACTCAACGGTTCAATGTTAAATCTGCTGGAGTTACGTCGACCATGCTCCTATTTTCTGCTATTGCGGCATTTGGACCGACGCTCCTTTATCAAGTTTATGGCACTGTAAGTTTTTTTTTTTTTTCCCTTTTCCATAGCCATGCTGGCCCTCCTTCGTTACTGGGTACTTACACACTTGTTTTAATAGCATGAATTAAAGTGCATGTCATGTACCAGCAGTGGGCTGGGTGGACCAAAGGACTGTCGTCGTTGCTACTTCTCAGAAAAACCTGAACTTCAGGACAGATTTTTCCTGAAAGCAGTGCAGCCGATTTCTTGGTTTGCAGCTTTGCTGCTTTTCTTATCATACGTAATTGGGCTTTGGTTTACATTGAGGACCCATGCTGCTATTATCTGGACAAGCGAGCTTGATGAGAAAAAGCCTCTACACACACCCACACACCCACATACCTCTCATCTCCTTCCCCCAGACTCCGATTTTTCCAGCGGAAAAGCCAAACAAGTTACTTCCGCTAACGGGCCACAACATGTCAGTCATGGAGGCACTTATCAGCGAAGCGGGTCTATTCGAGATTCTCAGCTGTACACTCGCATTCTGGGGCAGTCATTAAAACATGTTGGCCTTTCTTCAAAATCAAACGATGGCAGTTTGGAACAACCTTCGACCCCAGCAGAAAACCAAAATATTACTCCCCACCTTGTTCCACCCAAAGACCATGATACCATAGCTGAAACTCTCTGCCTACCTGGCCTGTCGGAAGAACAGAATGAATTGTTTGTCCGTAAGGTGGCAGAGGTAGCCGCTACCGCCGCTGCTGTGGCAGCCCGTGATGTTACAACCCGGCAAAAAAGGCCACCAATTGCTTCTCACGCCTCCGAACATCCACATAACAAACCAGTTGGCGTTTCCAGCACAGCTCACGCTGAAGATGGGGAAGAAGGCGGACTACTTGCTGAAACCCACGTCGCGGAAGCGGGTGGTCACGACGCGCCAAATTGGAGCAAGATGAAGAGCTCCGTCATTCTCCTAGGTGCCACGTTGCTTTATGCGATCATCGCTGAGATATTGGTAAACACAGTTGATACTGTGCTGAACAATTTTGATATAGATGAAAAGTTTCTAGGTATTACGCTCTTCGCACTAGTTCCGAATTCTACAGAGTTCTTGGTATGTGTTTTTTCTTTCTTTATTTATTTATTTATTTTTCTTTTTTTGAAGTGATACAGAAGTAAAAGCATCTAATATTAACCGTTATCAATAGAATGCCATTTCCTTCGCCATCAACGGAAACATAGCTCTATCAATGGAAATCGGTTCTGCATATGCCCTGCAAGTGTGTCTTCTGCAGATCCCCGCCTTGGTGTTATTCAGCGCCATATACACCCAATTCATAGACAAAAAGGATCTCCTAGAACACTCTTTCAAGTACGTTTATATACAGGCCTCTATTTATATCATCAAGAGAAGAAGAAAACACTAATTTCCTGTTATTTTCACACAGCTTGATATTCCCACAATGGGATATGATCACCGTGATCCTCTGCGTTTTCCTCCTGTCCTACATGTACGGCGAGGGAAAGAGTAACTACTTCAAGGGCTCCATCCTTGTCCTTGCATACCTATTTGTGATTGCCGGTTTTTATTTGTCTGACTTTAACGATATAAACGCCATGGACGTTGATCCGGCTGATAGCTTGGCCATGGGCCAGAGTGCTGTGTTTCGGACCATTGGTAGGACGAAGGGAGGTGAGGCTTATTTATGATAATATTTTTCATTAAATGTCCACACGAACTAGTCAGTGGTTTTTACCTGTCGACGGAAAAAGGGAGGAGGGGGGGAGGATTTCGGATTATGGCTGGGGTAGGTACAAGGTTGCTTCAATATAGTTATGTTTTGTTATTATTAATATTCTGTAATTGGTATTAATCACAAAGATGTCCTGACGATCATGGAGCTTGGAAATGGCATAATTGGGAAATATATCTAGGTTGTTGATCAACATTGGCTTCATTCTCTCCATTTGCTTTTTTAGTTCTTGATGGAAGTGGAAGGTGGATTATAACGGAGCTAGTGCCGAAAGTTCTGTAATTTTTGTTTAGATTAAGAATGAAAAGAAAGCAGCCCCGATTGAAGATATATGATGTATGAAATGACTTCATGTGCCCAATCCCAATATATTAAGGTAGTAAAAACAGTCGTTACCCAATATGAAAGCATATCTCTGCTTCAGTTCTTTCAATGTATGAAAAATGACAGGAAGTCCTGTAGAGCATACGTGATGATATGCGTGGTTTTTAAGAGAAGCATGAAAGAGGGAGTCCAAAAAGAGTGCAAGGAAAAAAAAAAAAAACGCCAGTATCATTTAGCTTTTTATATGGACAAAACGTGGAAGGAAAGCAAATTTGGAACAACAACCCACAAGCCTCATTCCTACCCACTTTGATATTTCCCATTCTCACCATTCGTTATTTAGTAAAAGGGTCTCTCGTCAACACCCCCCTCCCCCTCACACTCCCCGAAAACGGAAATACGCATTCAATTCTTCCCCCACCCCTCAATTGCCTCATCCACGTCCCTCCTATACTCCTGCTGCTTATAGCACTGCTCCAAAAACACCTTATACTTGACCTCCAGCAACTTCATCTCATATTCATCTGTGCTCGGCTTCACCATCTTCCCCGGCTTACTCATCCGATCCATAATATTCCACAAATCCTCCGTCTTGCCATTCTCATCCACGCTGGCTGCCTTGGCGCCCAACATCGCTGCACCATGACACACAGCCGCATGGACGTAGCGGGGAATAAGCACTGGCATCCCGCACGCGGACGCGATTAACTTCATCAGAATGTCGTTCTGGCATTGCGAGCCGGACATGAAGATTGAGGTGATGCTGTGGCCAGCTTTGTTCATCGTTTCGATGATCTGCTTTGTCTGCAGCGCGATAAATTCGAGGGTTGCGTAGTAGTACAGCGCGAGGCCGCTGACGGATTTATCACTTGAGAGACCAATGACGGAGCCGGACATGGTGGGGTCGGCGATTGGGGAGCGGTTGCCGAACAGGTCGCCGTAGAAGAAAAAGTGGCGACCTAGGTAGGCGATGGACGGCACTTGGCTATCCGCAGCCATCTCCTTTAGGTGCTCGTTGAGGTAGTCGTAGATGTTTGTGTGGTAGGATTCGGAGACGGAGAGCGCCTGGTTGAAGGCTGGGTGCGTCTCGATGACGTGTTTGAGCAATTCGCCTGTGGCGGATTGGCCGCCTTCGGCCATCCAGAAGCCTGGGATGATGGTGTCGCGATATGGACCCCAGACCCCAGGAACGAAAACTGGGTTTGGTGACATGGCAAGGTGGCAGGTTGATGTACCTGCGACAGCCGCGAGGCGGCTGAAGGCTTGGGACCTGTCGTTTTTGGCTGCTTCGGAGCTCAGCTGGTCAGATCCTAGTTGGACTTTTGCGCCCACAGTGCCTATCCAGCCGGCATAGGCGTCGATAACCCCACTTCCTACGGCGATTCCAGTAGGCAAACCTAGTTCTGAGGCTGCCTTATCACATAGAGTCCCAACGAGTTCTCCAGCAGAGAGATATTCTCCATTCTGTATAGTGTTATTAGTTGTGCATGACTCTTTGATTCTGTAAACGTATAGATATTTAAAATCACAAAAGATGGGACACAAAAACCAACCTGACCATTGACACCTCCAATGCGCTTGAAGCTATCCTCAGTCAACTCCTCCAGCCCGATCTCATTCAAGAAATCGGGTTGCCACCCCTTGACACTTCCATCAACACCCACAGGGACATATCCCTGCTTACAGACAACGCTACAGAAGCTCCTCTTCTCATTGCCAGTAGCTAAATGCGTCAACGCATCCGTCAAGTCGTAGAATTTGCAACGGTCAAAGAGCTCCTTTGGCATGTTACTCTTGAGCCACAGAACCTTGGGGATCTCCATTTCAATGGACATCTTGCCACCCACATAGCGGAGTAGATTATGGGCAGTGGCATTGATCTTCTCAGTCTCCTCGACGGGGCGGTGGTCGAGCCAGAGAATGACGTTGCGGTCCGTGTCGAATTTGGGGCCCGTAACAGAGACAGGTTCGTCATCATCATGGGAAAACACTGCTAGAGAGCAAGTGGCATCGAAGCCAATGCCGCGGATTGAAGCGGGGTTTATATTGTGCTGGCTTATCGCGCGTTGTACTGAGATGCAGATGCAACGCCAGATATCTGTTGTAGATTGTTCCTGGGTATATACTTATCAGAATGATACAGATATAAGATTTTATAGATCTGAAGAAAATTAACCTACATAGTACCCCTGTTGTGGCTGCCACAGGCCAATATTTTCCGAAGCCAGGCCCACAATGTCACCCTTGTTATCGATGATGCAGGCCCTAGCGCTACCGGTACCGACGTCGATGCCGATATAGTGGTCCATCTGCGGGGAGATCTCGTTTCGGGGATCCATGGAAGCTTGCCTGGACATCTGGCGCGAAGGGCGACGGTATGGGAGCGAAGTCATGATGGGAGAAGAGGGGGCTTTCAAGTCCCTCTCTATATACCTGCCCGTTTCACGATGTCTATCTCCTCCCGCCCGGGTTGTCAAGCAAAGCCGCGCTGCAGCCCTTGCTTACGACGATGAGGGGGCAAGGCGTCAAACAGGCTTGACTTCTTTTGAAATTGGATTGGACTGGGCAGAACCGGACTGGATGGCAGGAATGTAGGAGCAAGCGGCGCAATAGGTCTAGAACATCTTTCCCCGGATTGATCAGTCGGATGACCAGCAGAAAAGTTGTTGATTTCTGATTCGTGTTTGAGGGGGCAGCTTATCAGAAGAGGGGAGGAGAGTAGAGTTAGATTTGCGATTGGCAGGAAAGGATCCAAAAAAAAGCAGACAAATTTACTTCGGAATCGATATTGATTGAATATCTCACATGCAGGACAGCAGATTGTTGTTGTTGTTGTTGATTGCTGCTACTTCTTCTCCAACACGGCTATAACTGGGACTTGATGTTGAGATAGGATGCGGTTTCTTGCCCGATATGAAGGAGAGAGATGAGATGTTGAAGCAAAACAGGAGATACTTCACTTTTTCCCTTCTCTTTACATAGAAGTAAAATCAATTGTGAAACCTGAAAATTGATTGTATCTATTTTATTTACGCTGCATTGGCTCTTGACCAATTCTTATTAATAGCCCAATAGCCCAATATTGCCGACCCTCCTCTGCGGTGGAGCAGCATGATGCCTGGTTCCCTGTTCGGCGCTGGATGATGGCGGAACCATAACCCACAACCCCACAGGCAGCGCTGGGTCAATAAGTTAGTTCAACAATCTCACCAAGGAACCCAAACTTGTATGTATGTACTTGTCCTCCGGATCATAGGATATGCATATCCTAACCTCCAGCCAAGAAGGCGACGGTTGATAGCCGCTGCATTGCGTTGGTAATCGGACCGCAGTTACTAGTAGCTGTATCAGCCTGTGTCAACCTGTGGAGAGACGTGTTTGCGCAATATATAGAGACAGTTCATCCGGGTGAGACCGTTGTGAGGAGGCTTTGGAGGCCTTGGAGACGACCACGAAGCTGTTGTCGAGCGAAGTATCGGGAAGAGGACGCCGGTCCCACAGGGCTACATGTCGCCAACCAAGGCCTGTAATCATCACTTCAGACCAACCATAGGCTATGGCAACTCCAGGCGTTGAGGGATCTCCAATGTCTTTGCCTCACCGCTTTCATCGATTCTTGATGTAGCGCGTTATGGATATCGCTTGTGGACATAGTAGGCTATGGCTGCAGGCTGTTTTGAATCGGGAGGAGACAATAGATCTGGTTAATAGCCAATAGCTCTTGTATCTCCAAGCAAATGCTTTTATGGGCACTGACGATTTTCAACCCAAAACATGTAACTGGAATGGGATATCGTGCAATCCTTGCTTGGTGGTCATCCTTACCGTATTTATTGTTACGATGCCTAACCTTACCCATGTGACGTGACTCCAGCTACAGCAACCTCATCTTCCATCTGCACTAGTATTTACACGATTCTTTGCGCGATAGCAATAGCAGATCGAAATTTCTCTGCCCAACTCGAAATATGTTATGGTATTCTGATAGATCTTCGTTTCTATAACCGCTGCATACGGGCAGCCATACGTGTTCGCAATGCGCCTTGCATTCCTCTCCCTTCTCTCCCTCTCCCTGTCTGCTTTCACCTCCGCCTCCGCAGCACCTCTCTCCGCCGATATCTTCTACTGGCCACTCTCCTCCACTTCCAAACCCATCCGTCTGGCCAAAATCTCCTACGATCCCTCTACCCTTACGCACACAGTCGACTCCTACACCCCTCCCCAGCCCCAAAACGTCGCCTCCAGCAGCATCGATGCCCAGGCAGACCTCGTCCGCATCGGCCTGTACACCAACCCCAACCTCAGCGATACCGAAAGCAGCAGCGGCAGCGGCAGCAGCAGCCAGAAGGAACAATGGGTCGGAACCATATCCTCCCTCTCCCTCTTCGCAAACACGCCACAAACCCTAACCCTCCACCTCGATCAAAATGACCATGTCTACCACGCCGCCATCTCGTCCCTCGCATCGCCATCGCCCCCTTCCTCAAGCCCAGATTCTAGGGCTACGAGAATCAAGACCTCCTCTCCTCCTTCCCCTCCGCACAGAAATAGCAACAGAGCTGGAACGGAAGCGGGCTCTCTCAAAGTCGAGCTCATCCGCTCCAACCCCAGCCCCAGCCCGCACCTCAATCGTGCCGTCGTGCTGAGTCCGGACGGCACTGTGCCTGAAGCAGCTATTGAGAAGTCGTTTTTCCAGAGGTGAGTGTCCCATCCATCGTCGTCCTCTTTTGCTCGTTTTTCTTTTTTCTTTTTTTTTGTATATATATATATATTTGTTGTGTGCTAGATGTTGAATGTGTTCCCGCTAACCTCGCCCGGGGTTTAAATAGATATTGGTGGGTTCTCGGGATTATTGGTATTCTAGCATTTACGGGGAGTGCGGACGGGAGCTAAGTCAGGTAGACCCTGCTTTGCAGCGAATTGAATGCAATGGATGAATAGATAGATGGATGGGTGAGGTAGAATGCAGTGGCATTTTTCTTTTTTCGGCGGGGCATGTAGAGTATATAAAAAGATGCACGGTGGTTGTATGTACGATCACGTCTCTAATCTAATAACCATATCATGCAAAACAATATGAAAAAAGAAAAGAAAAGAAAAAGAATAAGAAAAAGAAAAAGAAAAAGAAAAAGAAAAAGAAAAAGAAAAAGAAATATCGTTGCCGCGGAAGTTCCGTAAGTTATAGGTGGGTCGGGTTACGGCGTGTTCAAACCCAACCCTCACAATAACCAGATTATATGCAGAGGCGCAGTCACTCAGCCATCAACACCACTGCATATAACCTGGTTATTGCTGATGTGTGTTCAATTTCATGTTCATACATACAGAATACTTGTATTTAGTAAGAGAAATACTATTAAATTCAGATATATGTGACTTTGCACACAGAAAGTTATATAATCACTAGCTAAATGATCTACTTGACTTCATCTCTACTAAAGAGCTACTGATTTCAGATACTGTATAGAAATGCAAGTCAACTGTCTGAGTGTTGTACACAGTTCATACAACTAGATCTAACTCTATAATAATAATATATATACATCTATAATAATAATGAAGAAATGAAAATCAAAGAGAGAGAACAGAACAGAACAGAACAGAAAAATGAAAGCTTCATACATACTCTATTCAATAAAAATGAGATTATTCTGTGCATCAGACTGAGTATTATAATTCATATCATCTGCTGCTGATGCTTGTAACTGTGATGACTATCTATTATAAAAATCATCATATATATCAGGCTGATTCACAGAGCTGTGAAGAAAGCAGTATACTGCATGATCACATCATTTGCAGTTGATACATACTTCTTCAAAGTGATCATATACACAGCAGTATAATAAGAATAGTTTAAGCTCAGAGAATGTACAACACTGTATACAGTCTGTGACAAGAGTTCTATTATAAGATTGAATCAGAATAATATTGATATACAATAAACAATGAAACAACATTTGATCAGCTCTGATATATATACAGATATATAATATATCAAAGTCAGAGACAGCAAACAGAGCACAGAATTGAAAACTATAACAAAATATATTCAGCTGAGAATTGCTGATATATATTGTATCATACTCTGATCATTTCTGCTATTCATCTTAATATTCAGCAGCTGAATAATATGAGTTAATCAACTCAGCCTGAGTCAGATTCTGCTGAGTGATAATAGAATTATATGAAATGAGAGTTCTTGCATTATAATTAGCTTTCTATACTGTATAATAGAGAAGCAGAGAAATACTCATATTATTCACAGAGAGAAGAGAAAGAGAGAATACTGTTGAAGAACAAAAGAAAGCTGATCTTCTTTTTTGTGAAAAAAAAAAATTGAAAATCTTCTCTGACTATATACACAAGTCTCTGTCAGTGTTCTTCTTCTTTAATATAATGAAATGAACATTTCATGCAGTGTACAGAGTGAGAAAAAGACAGAATGAACAGTGAATGAATGATCTTGATGAATTTCAACAAGAGAATAATAGATTCTGATGCAAAAGAGATTGTATATATCAGTGAATGATGATGAAGAAGCTGAAAAGAGAAAGAGAAAAGAAGTTGAGAGGGAAGACAGAGAAAGAGAAGATTTTATAACCAACTTGTTGTTGTTATCATTGTGAATGAAAGAGAAAAGTGGAAATGCCTTGTATATGAAAGAGGAAAGAGAGAAAGAGAGAATGCTCACTCTTGTGAATTCTGCTGAGACAGTCTGTATGCATAAATAAATAAATACTCAAGATTAAAAGATATACAATATAGTATAATTAATATACACAGATTATCTTCTTGCTCTTCTGAGAAAGACAGAGAGCTTGTTCAGACTCATTCTTAATTGTATATACATCAACTTAAGCTTCTTCACAATCTTTAGAATAGATCTTGATTTCATCATACAATGGCAGCTGAGTATCTCATTGATGATCATCTTTCACTAAAAAAAGAACATACACTCACTATTCTTCTTTCTTCAGCTAGATTTGTATGATGATTTCAGATGCTGTATAGAGAGCTGTTCATTCAATCTCTGTTTCCATTTCTTTCAGAGATTATTGATCAATTGAATTGTATGAAAAAGCTGATATATTCAAATATTATTCTCAGTTGATAATACTGTAGCAGAAGTGATGACAGCAGTAGCAGTAGTTGATAAAGAGAAGAATGAAGATACAGATATAGAGATGAAGAGAATCTTAACAGTATCTTTCTATACACAGACAGAAACAGAGACAGACTGAAAGATTCAGAATTCAGTTGTTATTGTATTAATTTCATACTGAATTCTATCAATCTTCTTCTTCATTTATACATCTCTGATTTTTATCTGATTCACCATCATATTGATCTGTCTTTATACAGTGCTCAGACTCTTGAAAATCTGTGATACTGATCATTGAAGTATTATCTTCTGTGAAGAAATAAAAACTGATTCTGCAGTCTGTACAGCATCTGCAAATTACTTATACTCTGTATACTGAAACACTGAGTCAGTCCACAGTGAATGAGTTAAAAATTCTCTCTGAAGAAGAGCAGAGTTCTATAGTATCATTATATAAAGATAATCTAACAGTCACAAAAATCTCTGAGCTGCAAGATCATCTGAGTCAAATAAACTTCCACTATCAAACAGCTTCAGACTCATATCAGAGATCTCAGAAGAAGTGATATAAAAGAATCTGTTCTCAGAATGAAATCAGATAAGTCATTCATTCATTCATAATCAGAAGAATTTCTTCAACAGCTCTGATGAAGTAACTGTAGCTCATGAAAGATAGTAATTATTTAACAAGCTAGAATTGAACTCTGCAATCTCTTATATAAACTCTCAATTGATCTGACTGAGATAGCAGCTGGTCAAAAAATCATTATTCCATTGCTCAGCTCTGCAGATGCTGCTCTCATTCATTTTATTAAACTCTGCCTTCTGTGCATCTGTGAATCATTCAGTGTGAGTCTTCTTTATCATCTCTAATATATCTGTGTATATAAAGAGCTTGTTTGTCCACTTGTAGTAATTTCGGCTTATTATTCTTCCGTGGCGTACACCACTCTCTATTATCAAGAATAGTGTACACTACTGTGCTAGTTATTTTGTATAAGAGAAGCTGTAAAGCTTAGAAGCTTTGAGAAGCTCAAGCAATCTTTGAACCACATCTGATAGCATGTCTAAACTGAAGAGAGTATATGCTTCTGAGGGTGTGATAATTCCATCTACAATGTGAGTTGTAGTTATCATATCAGTGTAGTCATTTTTACACTTGAGAATTTGATTGTATGAACAAGTGGTGAAGTTGAAATGCTTCTGATTGCAATGTCAGTAGCAGATAACTCACTTCAAAATACAAAGTAAGCTGAGAGTGTAGAAAAGTGGTGTAGAGATGAATGATGATTCAAAGAATCATTCTATTTGCAAGCTTAAGAAGAAGATGTCAGTCAGTTGTACAATCAAGAGAATATCACCAAGAAATCACTTCATAAAAATGATATTCTTAAGACACAGAGAAAAGCATACAATTGATGATAACCACCATGAACATCTACAATCAACACTCATCCCTCATACTCAAACCACAGAAAATACAACTAGTTCTCAAAGGTCTATATAAAGCAGTATATAGAGTGGCAGCTCTTGCATCTGAGAACAACAAACTTCTCATTCACAATATCTTATTGAAAGAGATTCTAGCAATGTATAATCTTTATCAGACAGAGCTCAAAGCACAGAAGAAATATCAGTATGCAGAAGCTACTCAGCAATAAGCAGTGAATACTGTGAACTTTGCAGATAGCTTAGCAAATATCAAAAATGAATGAGATACTCAGATGGCTGATCTTTATCAAGAACTGAAATGTATACATCATAAAACTGAATGCTCAGTGACTCTTGAGATTCCACTGTATAGCTTAACTAGCTCACTCAACATTAACACTTCAGTAAATGACTCTGACTCAGTGTATATGACACAAATGATGCTCTCAGAGGATACACTGTTCATCATGAAATATATCAAGTCAGATGATCTATCTAACCCATCATACTTTGATGATGAATGTAAGAACAATGCTGCTCTTAACTGGTTGGGTTGTATGTGTTCTCATTATCATATAAAGCATGAGCTTACAGAACAACAACTCATCAAATTACAGCAGATCTTATATACAGTATCTATTCTTAGAGAAACAGCTAGATCTTTTTGAATGACAGCTGAGAAAATAAATACAGAGGCATCTGACAAGTATAGACTATCACAGACATGAGACAATTTTGCAAGATGGATTCTGCATAACTTCAAGAAGTTGGATGCTAAAGATAAGTGTTATGAACACTTCATGAAATACAAGCAAAAAGAAGATCTTGTGTTGTACTACATTCATTTCAGCTTGCATTATCTTGCAATGAATCAGAAGCTCTCAACATCTTTCTGTTTGCAGACATTTGTACACAGTTTGATGTCTGAGCTATACATTAAATGAAAGTGTCTTACCTCACAACCACTGACAGTAGAGCAAGTGTATAAGACTCTACTCACAAGGAAACAAGCAGACAAGCTGTGAAGATAAGTAAAGAGAACATTGATGAATACAAGAAGATTCATATCTACATCCACAGCATCACCATCAAGACACTCAGATACAATGAATATCAATCTCAATGCTATCACAAAAGCTTCAAAATCTTTCAAGAAGAACTCATCAGAGTGGATGGTATGATATCACAAGCACAGAGTGTGCTTTCACTGCAGTCAACAGAATCATAATACAAGGGATTGTTGAAGTCATCTGTAGAATAAGAAATCAAAAAACTAGGCAGATCAGCAGAGCTGAAAACACTTACTAATCAACTGCTGAAAATCTTCAAAATAAATGAATTATCTGTACTAGATAACTCTCTGAATTCTATGAGAGCTGAAGATAAGATTGATGAAGAGATGAGTATAGAAGAAGAAGTGAACAAGTATCTGAACACTGTAGAATCATATACACTGATGTATAAAGAGTATCTGAGGTGGAAAAAAGAAGTGGCAGCAAAAGTGTTATTGAACACAGATGCTTCAACAAAGTATATTGGTGATTATATACTAATAAGATTGTCTGATGTATGACAGATGAAGGAATCTAAATAAGTAAAGCTTTCAAACAATTGATATCTTATCTTGTCTGTGAGGGTAAAGATGTCTTTGTATTTTGAGAGATGATCTTGCTGCATCTGAGTATATATACTTTCAGATGTAGAATATAATCTGATCTTGAGGCTTGATTGATTTCAGAAGTATGATCTCAGAATTCATTGACATATATATTATATACAGTTGACAGATTGTAAGAACCAAGTTTATATGATACTATTTATAAATATAAGATGCAGGTTTCACATGCCAGAGATAAAAGGCTTGAATCTCATCACTCAACATCAAGCAAAGTAAGCACTGTATAAACTTTCAACTCAGAGCATTCTATACATTATAAAAGAATCTAAGACAGAGGAATTGTCATTCACAAAAGACTCTAAAAATGAAAAGTGTATGAAGACACTGCTTGAAAAGTATAAGAAGATCTTCTGAATGAATCTTCTATCTTCTCTGCCATCTGAAAGAGAATTTGTTCATGAGATCAATACAGAGGATGTGAAACCAATAAATTGCAATATATATTCTCTATTACAAACACATCTTGAGAAACTACAGCAGCAGATAGAAGAATTGTTGAAGAGGGGTCTTATACAACCATTCTCTAGCACATGAAGCTTCTCAGTTCTATTTGCTAAGAAACTGAATGAAGAATGATGTATATATATTGACTATTGAGTGCTCAATAAGCTCACTGTAAAGAATGAATATTCACTGCTGTGAATTCAGCAACAACTAGATATGATAGAGAATGTCTGATATCTGACAAAGATTGACTTGCTCATAGAATATTGGCAGATTTATATAGACAAACTGTCAGTACTCAAAACAGTGTTTAACACTCAATAGAGAAAATTTGAATTTCTTATGATATCAATGAGGCTTATGAACACCTCTGCAATCTTTCAAATGATAATGAATATAATTCTCACTAAGCAGAATAGCTGATTGTGTCTTGTATATCTTGATAATATTTTGATCTTTTTGAACTTGTATGAAGAGCATCTATAACATATAGATCAGATGCTCATGACTCTGACAGAGTACAAGCTCTACACTAAATCATCAAAATATGTATTTGATATAAAGAAGTTGAAGTTTGTAGAACATCTTGTGGAAGGGGGTTGCATACACTCAATTCTCAAAAAGATGAAGGTTATTGCAAAATGGCTGAGATCTAGAAATATACATCATATATATCAATTTCTGGGACTGACATCATACTACAGAAGATTTGTGAAGGACTTCATATGAATTACAGCTCTGCTGTTGAATCTTCTTAAGAAGATGAATACTGAACTGCATAAGAAGAAATTTTGTTTGATCATCTGAAATGTCTTCTGTGAAGAGGCCTTTCTGAAATTAAGAGAGTATATAATGACATCCTCAGTGCTTGTTCAACTGAATTATATGAAACCCTTCACAATCAAAACAGATGCATCAGAATGAGTCATTGAATACTCCCTCTTACAAGTGAGAAAGGATGATAAATTACACTCAGTAGTGTATGATGGCTGAAAGCTATTGAATGCAGAGCTTAACTATTCTATGCATAAGAAGAAGCTTCTAGTGATCAAGCATGCACTAGGTCTATAAGATTGATATATCAATAATAAGCATACAACAACAGTGATCATCAACTACAAAAGCCTTATTTATTTACAAATAACAATCAAACCCTCTAAGCAACTGACATGATGGATATCAGAGTTCCAGGCATACAACCTCCAAATCAAATACTGAAAAGGGTTGGATGCTATTGTGTCAGATGCTATAAGTTGTAGACCTGACTTCATGGGAGAAGACTCAGCAAATGTGGTGCAGGGAGAGCTTACACTGATGGCACTGAGGGGTTGTGACAAGGCAGAGTGGTTGAAAGCCATGATCACCCACTTGAGAGATGGAAGTGTATTGAACAATAAACATCTAGCAAAGATGATAGAAGAAATGCTTCTGAAATTCAAGCTTGCAAAGTTGAAGAAAGATGTTGTGCTCTACTGTGATCTTGATTACACTGAGACACTGTATCTTAAGCCTCAGTTTCAATGAGATCTGATGAGTTGTATGCACAAGAAGTTCAGCCACTTGAGAAGTTCAGAACTTTTAGATATTCTGAAAGATTGAGCATACTGATCAAGCATGAAGAAAGATATTCAGATATATATATGAGAATGCTCAAACTGCCAAGTCTCTAAGGACACAAGACAAGAATTGAAGTATGAAAGAGCACAACATCAGATAGAAAGTACAATTAAGCTGTTTGAATATTGAGAGATAGATCTCATAGAGATATTACCACAGATATCAAATGAGAACTGCTGAATAATAACAGCAGTTGATTACATTACAGAGTGGTCAATTGTGTGAGCAGTGTCAGAAGCAACAGAGGAAATCATTGCTAAGTTTCTACATAATAATATCTATATTAGCTATAGTATGCTCTGTGAGATATTGATAGATAATGGGGCAAATCTTGTGAAAGAAGCTGTGAGGCACTTTGTCAAACAGTTGCAGACAAAGCATCACACAACAATACTCTATCACTCTTATACAAATAAAAAAGTCAAATGCTTGAATGAAATACTAGGCAGCATGCTGATGAAATATCTAGTGAGGAAGTTCACAAGATTATAAGATAAATATCTTGAATAAGTGTTATTCACAATGCAAGTTTGTCAGTATGCAGTTTCAAAGCATTCATCATTCTATCTGCTCTATAAGATACATCTGTGTATCTCAGAGAATATACAGAAGCAGATAGAGAAGAAAATAGCAGTTGTGGATGTGGAAGTAAGAGTGAGAGAAATTAGCTACATTCAAGCAAAAGTAAATGAATTACTGCTCAACTGCACCATACAATCAAAAAGAATACAAAACTTACTAGTAAAAAAAACAAGTCTCACAGTGGGTATTTGAGTTCTCATATGCAATGAGAGATCTGAGAAGTTTCAATCAAGATGGTTTGAGCTGTACAAAATCCTTAAATCACATTCTCTTGAAATATATACTTTGAAGAAATCAGAGGGGTGAGTTCTACACAATCTCATCAATGACTCTCATCTTGTAGAGATGAAAGTGGAAGATTCAAATGAGCTGTGGTCATCTGCAGCACTATCATCAGCATTGAAGAAAAGAGAGTTTACAATAGAAAAATCTCAAGAAGTTAGAGAAATCATCAATGCTTATGAACTGAATGATATCACTTACTCAGATCTCTCCACAATAATCAAAAAGAAATAGAAGGAAATGGAAAAAGCAGGTATACAGCATGCATCAATAAGTGACAAGACTGTTGCTGGCTGTATGATATTGTAATGTAGACAGTGAGTACAATATGATCAGAGGTGAGCTTGAGGCAGTCAATTAATACATAAGTCAGATCACAAGAACAAAAGAGATTCAGATAAGGATTTGACTGTCTACACTAGCTCAAGTATAAAGATTTCAGAGGATGAACTGTCAGAAATATCAGTGAACACACTGAATCAAGCCATTGTGACATCTGAGAATACTCAGAGATCAGATGAGATTAGTTTTGATGAATCATTTGCTGTAGTTATCTGAGCTTGTGAAGAGGGACAGTATAATGTATGAAGATAGAATACTCTCATTGAAAGATATGAGATCTGCTGCATCTGATTATCAAAGTATAGAATTAGTAAAAGATTGCATGAGATTGATATCAGATAAGAAGAAGAGGAAGGGAAAAAGAAAGTCAGAAAAAAGATCTATTCATATACAGCTCTAGTGACTGCTGCAAGAGCTTCATCTGATTTCTAAAAATACATGGATATCACAAGAATAAAGAAAAGAAAAAGGTGTATATCAATGAAACACTCCAGCTCAACACCTTCAGAAACAATTTGTATACAACAAAAATTAAAACTTGATCTGTATCAAGAACTTCAAGATCTCAAAATGAGTGTGTAGAAGTGCAGAGCACACCTCCATCTCATGAAGAGTCTGATGTACTGATTTGATATTCTCAATGAGAAGATTTGCAGAAAGCCCAATAAAACAATAAAAATGTGTATGTGGAGAAAAATCAATCAGAATGAGGGAGAATGAGGTGAGAGTGGGTAAAACAGTGGAGTGAGTGTCTGAACCTCTACAAGAACAAGTGGCAGACACTCACTCAACAGAAAGTGAAGAAAGAAACAGAAGGGTGAAAGTGAAAGCAGAAGCAGAGAAGAATGAATAAGTTGCAAAAGAATTGAAGACAGAAGCAGCAATAGACATACATGAGATGGTATTTGAAGCAACTATAAAGTATTAGCAGCCACTATAATGCAAAGAAAAGAGTATACATTTACTAAAAGAACAGAAACTCCTCTTGAAGCTTCACAAATAATTGCAACAGAGATGAAGGCAGTCAATGAAACAGTCATATGCAGAAGACAGAACACAAAATTGGAATGAATCTTTGCTGCACACACAACCCACACAAGAAACAGATGTATACTTGCTCTGAGTATAAAAAAGCACTATGTCACCATTTAAACTACTCTGTATATGTATGTTCTTTCTATAAATAATCAGTTTGGAAGTTATATATCAATATAAAAAATGATAGCATTCATCTGATAAGCTGAAAGTGTGTGAAGATAAGAGAGTGATGCAAAAACTGATATGAGTGAACATGATGTGAAGATCTTCATCTGTCATAATCTCAATAACACAGAGACTCTGAACAATTTCATCTACAACAAATCAAAATAAAATTTATAAATGAAGAGAGGGATATTGCATACACTCAGTACAATCTGTTCAAACAACAGTGTTTTCTCTGAGATATGTAAAATTGCTAAATGTTTCATATTTGCTTCAAGCAAAAGATGCAATCAACAAATAACTAGTGAAATGGATCATATCATACAAAACTTGTATATGGAAACACATTTTTTTGAAAGCAGTGGGTGCAGAAGAGGAGTGTGGAGAATAAAGAAGAGAGCTGCTGAAGATATACAATGCCTCTAAGAGAATGAGTGAAAGC